GACTGATGCAGATCATCGCTCTCTTTGCTGGTTTCAGTGCCAATTAGATGCTGATGAGGTTCTCTGTCAGACCCTGTGGCTGACCACAAAATCTGATCATAGTCACTACTGTATGTCCTACAGCGCTGACAGAGACCGGGGTTGCCTAACTGCAAATAAAACAGCTGGCAAAGCTTTGTGGTTTCATCTTAGTATGCATTATTTTTTACATGCATGAAGGAAATGAATTTGTCTGACCACTGTGATTAGAGAAATAGGGTTATATAAGATCATTCAATCATTGTTGGAATAATAGATATATATAAATAATTTAATTCTTGTGCAAATTTAAACATTTGCACAAGAGGGGTTGAAAGGTCATGAGTCTGACACATGGACAGTATCTTGAAAGTTGCCTCTTTTTTCAAAACTTAAAGCTCCTGTGAAGAACTTTTATTTTGAGTTTTGGCGCCCCCTTGTGGACAAAGTGGGACATCTTATCTAGTTCCAAACAGTCAAGCTTTAGACGCCATGCACGTCAATGTCACGTCTCCCTCACCAACAAATCAAAATCTGGTGGTCTCGTTTGCTTTTGTGGGTCATAAAGATGCATCAATATGCATTTCAGTCCGTTTCATTACAAACCAAAATACTCTTTGCAGGAGCTTTAAACTTGTCATGTGCCATAAACCTGCAGATTTCATGATGCCCAGCAGGGGGCGACTCCAACATGAAGTCTGATTGTATCTAGTTGAGAAGATAACCTTACTTCTCAGGTGATTTATTACTTCAGTTAAATGCTCATCTGAGTTCACTTTCAATACAGCATGATGACATTTTGTAGAATATGGTCCCATTAAGGGTTAAATCCATGACGAGGCAGGTGTCCTTTTGGAGGGGAAGCAAGAAGGTGATGGCCAAATGGACCAACCCAAGATTGCGAAAGTGGGGTTCTCTAAAGTCTTAAATGCAGTCTAAGGGCTCACCTTATAATTACAGCTAATACACCTTGTTAGAAAAAACGTTTGTTTGTGATAAGACCCACAAACAGTGATTATACCTCTGGCATTCCAGATCATAGACCGGGCCGATCTAGCCGAGGCCACCGGGTGTCCCACCAACTGTGACCTTCAGAGGTGGAAGGCACACAGCAGGCAGGTGACATCTAACCCCCGGGGATTATTCTGATTTCTGTTTGCCAGCCAGAGGGTCTAATGCTTCTCCTTTCAGCCCTTCTTTTTGCAGAAGTTAGATAAACATGGTTGTGCAGAGGTGATGGGTGCTTTGAGCTGCTCGGACCTGTGCTTCCTAACTCACATCTAACCCAAGAAATCTAACTCATACACCTCCTCTTGAGACTTAAATGCCCAATTTATTTCCTCAGACGCCTGCCAGCTCACTCTGGACCCAAACACCGCCTACAGACAGCTCTACTTATCTCGAGGGAACAGGAAAGCTGCCCTCAAGAGAGACCCCCAGTCCTACGGTGACCACCCTGCTAGGTTCGACTCCCTGCCTCAGGTCCTGTGCTCGGAGCCTCTCTCTGGAGGAGCTTACTACTGGGAGGTGGACTGGAGCGGGGAGGGGGCCGCCATCGGACTCACCTACAAAGGCATCAAGAGGACGGGATACGGGGACAGCTGCCGCATAGGATACAACCGCAAGTCCTGGAGCCTGTTCTGCTCCGACTCCAGCTACTCGGCCCGACACAACAAAGACCAGCTGGAGGTCACCGGCCCCTACTCGTCTCGAATCGGGGTGTTCCTGGACCACGCCGGGGGGACCCTCTCTTTCTACGCCGTAGGGGACAACATGTCTCTCATCCATCGCTTTAACACCCCCTTCAGTGAGGCTGTGTACGCGGGCTTCTGGGTCTGGTATGAGTCTTCCATCACCATGCTGCAGCTGTGATAGAAATGAAACACTCACGATGATAAATGTACAGCTGTGATTCTGTTTTAGGTTTAGAGAACATGAATCACTTTTATCTGCTGTGATAATTAATATATTATAATTCTTGTTATCTTAAACTTCCTGTGAGATGTTTGGAGTATCAGGGAGCTTTTCTTTATGACTGTGAAGATTCTGTTAATGGTGAATAAAGAGAATTAGCATTTACATTTTTGAAATGACGCCTATAATTAATTGCAACATGTGATGTGATCATTTATAAATGTCAGAATACACTTATTTGTTTTCCAATAAAAATTATAACAAGGATATAACGTGTAATATTTTGTACGTTTGTTACGTCATGCTTCTATTAAAGTTTCACTCAGCAGCGTGATGACTTCTCAGTCACAAAATATAAAGAACCCGGAGATTCAAGCGAACTGGTCATTCATTCATTGTAGCGTCTTCTGACCGACGTGGTTTGTAAAACACTAAAGATACTGTCACCAGAAACTTCAAAGTTAGAGGTCCAATCAGTGAGATGTGAAGTGAGTGAAATGATAAAGTGACCTTACTATATGATCAGACATTAAGGAAACATGCTATGTTGAAGTGCTGGCTTCTCTGACAACAATGCAGCAGCCAGTATGTCCTCCTAACTTTAGATTCTGGTCCTGAATGCTCTGGATTTGTTGGACCTGAGAAGAGGCCATTTTGGACGCCCCTCGTTTTGCAAAGTAAACGGTAAGAGAAAAGTAAAATGCATCAGTTGTTAGTAAGAATGTTATGAATGGTGAGTGAACAGTGTTGGTTTTGTGGCGGTCTGAGAGGGTTCAGAGGATTTCCACATGAGCAGGTGAGCTGTGACTGAGAGGCTCCTGAGTCTCTCTCTCACCCACAGCAGATTGAAATGTTGGACATGATGTTTGTTTCACTCTTTAGATGTTTAACTTTGAGTTTAATATTAAGTCTGGATTCAGAAAAACTTAAAGCCATTGATTGACCACTTAATGGACTTGATCTTGGATAGCACATTTCTACTACAAGTCGCTTTTTACACCGCAGGTCACACCTACCTGTTCACACCACATTCACAAACTGATGGCAGAGGCTGCTATGTGAAGTGCCAGTATCAGTATTTACTAATCCTTTAATACTCATTCACACAACGCTGACGCCGCACCAAGGAGCAATTTGGGGCTCAGTGTCTTGCCCCCAAGAGGTCTATAAAAATACTGAATGTGAACATTTTGCCCTTCCTCTCCCTGATGACGTGACGGCAACTTAAACTACCATGTGCCATGCCACCTCAGGAGCACCGGCATGCCCTGCTGTTCGTGGCATGCCAGTTTTACAGCTACATGTGCGCTTATGATTTTGCAACAATGAAAAAGTTTACAGCCCATCTTCCACCACTAGCATTACAGTATGTACATGAATACGAGTGGTCCTTATCTACAACATTTACTGTCATTATTATACACTTTTTTGTCTGTGCTGCTGCTCTGTTGTTTTAAATAGATTCTCATGTACTCGACATTTCACTTCACAAAGCTTAGTCATTAATTAGTCACAGGGACACATCGTGACTTTGACAAACAAAAGGTTTTGTTTCTGTCCTTCTGACAGTATCACTCTCTAAGATGCTTACTGCAGTGAGTTCAGATTGTGGAATCCTAAAACTGCCGCTTTCAGGGGAAGGATATGAAGACCTCCTTAAAAATCCTTCAGGATACGGTCATGTTCTGTGATTTAGTAACTCCCCATTTTTATGTGGAAATGTGTTTTTATCTACACAAGCGACCAGCTCAAAGGCAGTTACACTCCTCTGATGATTCATGAAAAGGTTTGCAACTTAAGTTGCTGCTCTAAAGAGTTGATATGTCAGAATGCATCAACATTATGACTGTAAACTAATACGTCTCTGTTGACTATAGTTTGATTCTTTAGGAACAGTAAGTTGGTGTCAGGAAGGACAGAAAACTAACTGCTCTGACTTTGACGTCAAATATACAGCAAATGCACAAAGCGGTAGCTCCACGTAAGTTTCTTCAAACTGAATTTGACATTATAACTACCTCTAGTGGACAAATGTAGGCAATGCAGTGCTCAACCAGGCTGTCATCATCTGACACCTTCACCTCACTCTCTGGGGATGCTCCTCCTGTGGGAGTAGAAAACAACGTGTCATACACTGAACTGTTCTATCTTATATGAAAGGACTAAGATGTAATTACTGCCAGTTCAGAGAACATCATGATGAGTCCACATTTAAACACAGGATCAGATGCAGATGAGTTTTAAAGGTTTATTTTCTTTTAGATAGTGTGGAGGATTTTATCTGCGTGTAATGATGTTAAACAAATCAGAATTATGTCAAATTAGTGTCAATGTTAGGCGCCTAAACTTACATCATGAATGCATCCACAGCAGGGGTACTTGACTCTCTAAATAAAGGGTAAAAAGGGAGGGAATCTAACAAAGTGTTGTATTCAACATGATTCATATAATGCCAACAAAACAACATAAAGCAAGGTGCATGTCCATTTTCCACTCACATTTAGGTTTCCTCTGTACCCTGCAGCAGGTCAGGATTGGTTTGGATGGAGAAGAGGAAATGACAGGCCTGAAGGCAGGCTTTTAAAATGTTGGGGGTGTGGCTTAAGCACGGTGGCAAGGTCAGGTGATGGTGATGTGAGACTTGTGATTTAATATTATAAATATCTATATAATTAGGATATTGAGCTCCTTCTCAGGTCTTTTACCTGCTCTTTTGTAACATAATATAACAAAGAGTAAGGTCCATTACCTGCTATTTGTAAAATAGCTTAAGATAAAATTATTAATTAAATTTGTGCTGTAAAACGAAGATTAATTGATGTGAAAATGCAGACAGATAACTCTGGTTGCAAAGTTTATTTATTTAGTTTTCTAGTTTTTTATTTGTATTATTATGACTATTAACTTTTTTTGTATTAATCTTGGAAAACTAGCTCCCTTCTAAATACTCCGATACAGTAGGTGGCAGTGTGCACCTTTAAAATGGGATTGCAATCCGCCAAAATACACAAAAACAGAAGAAGAAGAAAGGCGACCAATCCGAAGCCTTCATGATAGAAAAAGTTCTTGTTTCTTCCGGACACAGTTTTCCTGCGCACCACGAGAAAGAAGCGCCGCATTTTCACATTTTGTCCAGTGTGGCTGCACAGGTGAGTGTAGATTCATACTTTATCTGTAAAAACTATGCATAATACCTGGGTCTACATGTCCTGATTCCACATTATATTGACCCAATGTGTAACTATGGAGTGTGTTTGATGTGTAACGGCACTTACAGCAGACCGATGAATGGAGCTAGCTAAAATGCTAACATAATATAAGCTAGCGTTAGCGTGACATGTACTCTGCTGTAGAGAAGCTAGCAGGAAAAAAAAACTATGTACGGCTGTTATTTATTAAAAATGAATTGACTAACAATTGAATTAGAAGCGTATCATTAGGAAAATATGAACTATGCTGTTTTAAAAGAAACAGGAATACGACAAACTGTCTCTGTAGTTTGTGTTGTGTCATCTGTGAAACTGTCACTATGACAACCGTTCAGATAAAACACATTCACTGGAAGTCTTAGGGACTTTATTTGTGGTTAAACATATTTAAATGTTGTGAGAAATGTCTTTCCCAGTAGAGTAGAGGATAGGACACTACGGACAGTCACTTTGTTGTTTTTGTATGAAAGAAGAAAACAAAGAAACCTTGTTGGCAGCAGCTGACACATGTTAGAATATATTTGTAGTCATGTGCAGACACAAATATTATTTACATATTAAACTGCACTTACATCCTGGCTGTCAGGATGTTTTTATTGGTCTGTCCACCCACGATCACAATATAAATATCTTCACAACAACTATTATATGGACTACCATCAAACTTCTGCAATCAGAACTTTAATGTTTCCAGGATTTTTACAGTCATGTAAATTAATTATTAATTCATCTCTGATGCACTTTGAGATTTTTTTCTCCAAAAATATAAAGTGCATAACAAATACAATTTTTTTTATTATTATTATTATTATGCCTTTGAGTGCAATGTCTTAACAATAGGTTGTAGAGACTCTGCCATCTCTTCAACCGTCTCCCCTCAGGCCACAGATACAGATCTCTCACTTTGCGGACTAATCGAGCCATGTCAAGCTTTGCTCCCACATCTATCAGGCTCATGAACAATCTATTTCTTCTTTATTTTTAAGACCACTCATTTAACCGCTTATAACAATTATTTATGACCTATTTATTATGCTTTTAATAGAGCCCCATGTATGTGTGTGTTTCTGCTGTTGTTTTTTTTGTGTCTCACTGTATGCGTACTGATGCTCTTTAACACAAATGAAGTTGCTAACGGATAAATAAAGTTATTTGAATTGAATTTGAATAGGTTGCGATAAACAGTGGTACAGGCTTTCTTTACTCTTGTTTTTATATACATTTTAAACTTGGCTCTGCTGTCTGTTCTTGACTTACAGATGGCGGCAACGAAGGTCCCAGAGGTTCGTGACATTACACGCATTGAAAGAATCGGTAAGAATCTCTTTTTTTAAATTGGGACTGATTTATTATGTTTCAGGGTCGGTCAGCCTGATTGTATCTCGATACTAATGCTGCATTAACTCATTTAAAATGTTCTTGTGTTTCTTTGTTTGTAGGAGCACATTCTCACATTCGTGGCCTCGGTTTGGACGATGCTTTGGAGCCAAGACAGGTAACGTTTGTTCTTCAGTATATGCAGGGGTGGACTTGTTCCTCTGTAGTTTACATCCAGGATCTAAAATTAAGTATGTTTATGAATTTGGCCTCAATGTTACCTGTTCCCCTGCAGGTGTCTCAGGGGATGGTCGGCCAGCTGGCCTCTCGTCGGGCGGCGGGGGTCATCCTGGAGATGATCAAAGATGGCCACATCGCTGGCAGAGCAGTGCTGATTGCTGGCCAACCTGGCACAGGAAAGACCGCCATTGCTATGGGTAAGGGGGACGCTGGAGGCTTTCCAGAACACAATATCTACTCATCTTCTTCCCTCTGGTAGTCGTACTGCTGCCCTGTGTTAATGTAACTGACTTAAGTTATATAGATGTTAAACCAGGAGTTCCTCTTCTCAGGTTCAACTAAGTTTTTTTCTTTTTTTCCCATGCAGGTATCGCTCAGTCGCTCGGCCCTGACACACCCTTCACAGCGCTGGCAGGCAGCGAGATCTTCTCTTTGGAGATGAGCAAGACGGAGGCTCTCAGCCAAGCTTTTAGAAAGGCCATCGGAGTCAGGATCAAGTGAGTGAGCGAACACAATCACTATTTATGATTTTTATGAAAAGAACTGTTCATATAGTGGCTTTGTTTTCCAGAGAAGAGACGGAGATTATTGAAGGAGAGGTGGTGGAAATCCAGATTGATAGACCAGCCACTGGAACGGTAAGCTGCTGTAGCATTAGCTTTGAGTGCACATATAACTTACTGTTCATAAAGTCGTTCTTAATGCCTGCTTTGATCACAGAAAGCAGTATTTGTTAGAATGCAATGATTGCTGATAATACAGGGTAAAAGGGAGTTTTATAATAGTATTTAATTTGTGTCTCAGGGTGCCAAAGTGGGGAAACTGACTCTCAAAACGACTGAGATGGAGACGATATACGATCTGGGTAACAAAATGATTGACTGTCTCAGTAAAGAGAAGGTTCAAGCAGGGTGAGTTCATCTCTTGTTCTCTCTGTACATGAAACATCAGGTGTGTTAGGACTTTATTTTATTACCACAAACAATCTCAACTCTCTTTCCTTTCCTCTCAGGGATGTCATCACGATTGACAAAGCCACCGGAAAGATCAGCAAGTTAGGCCGTTCCTTCACCAGAGCCAGAGACTATGACGCCATGGGAGCTCAGGTAACGAGTCATATCAATAAATAAAAACTATGAAGTTTGGGGATGCTAGTCAAACGTCTTTGATCATCATGTATGTATGTAAAAAAAATTTATCTTCATTTTCATCTGCAAGTTTTCCTATTATTGCTGCTGCAGTCTATTATGATGACCGAAACATTACTTAATACACGGTCCATCTCCATTTAAAATGATGTGTTAGAATTACCTTTACTTAATTCACAGAACACCTCCCAGGAAAATGTCCTTCTGCTTATTATCTATGTCCTCTAAATATTCATGTTGCTGTGATTCTTCAGATCCAAAAAGAAAGTCTGAGGTTGTTTAAAATAATTAGAGTAAAATAACCATTCTCTCCTTGTTTAGCCTTTTAATAATGATCGTTGTTGTCTCTGTAGACTCAGTTTGTCCAGTGTCCAGAGGGAGAGCTGCAGAAGAGGAAGGAGGTGGTCCACACCGTGTCCCTGCACGAGATCGACGTCATCAACAGTCGCACACAAGGCTTCCTGGCCCTCTTCTCCGGAGACACGGGGGAGATCAAGTCTGAGGTCCGAGAGCAGATCAACGCCAAAGTGTGCGAGTGGAGAGAAGAGGGAAAGGCAGAGATCATCCCCGGGGTACGTTTCATCCCTCTGTGTGTGTGTGTGTTTAATCTTTTCTGTGTGATTTAGGCTCACTGATTTTCTCTGTTTGTCGTTTCAGGTGTTATTTATCGACGAGGTCCACATGCTGGACATGGAGTGCTTTTCCTTCCTGAACCGAGCCCTGGAGAGCGACTTGTCACCCGTCCTCATCATCGCCACTAACAGAGGCATCACTCGGTACTATTAACCCCTTGAGTTTCTCACCGTCTGAATAACAAACGTGAAATGCCGCTATCAACACTGAACACTGCACTCTTTACTCTCACAGCATCCGCGGCACAAACTACAAGAGCCCTCATGGCATCCCCATCGACCTGCTGGATCGCTTGCTCATCATCGCCACCTCCCCGTACACGGAGAAGGAGACGAGGCAGATCCTCAAGATCAGGTGAGAAACTTTCATCATCTTCTCTCAGAACATCGATGTTCTGCTTCCCCCTCATGTTATCAGCAGATATTAAAACCGGCATGATTTGGTTTCAGGTGTGAGGAGGAGGATGTGGAGCTGAGCGACGAGGCTCACGCCGTCCTGACTCGCATCGGCATGGAGACATCGCTCCGCTACGCCATCCAGCTGATCAGCACCGCGGGACTGGTGTGTCGCAAACGCAAGGTTAGTAGTGAAGTCTGATCAAAAAGAAATGATCAATTCAGTGATCCAGCAACAAAGGATTTAATCATTATTAATAATGATTATCATATCATACTACGTCTACACATGCTGTTGAGGACTGGAGCTATGTGTCCCCCGATTGGTTCATCAGAGGTTACATGAAGCGCTGTGATGAGACAGACTTGTTTTAACAGTAAAGGGAAACTTCAGTCTCTCTGTAGAGTCTGCAATCAGTGAGATGTGAAGTGAGTGAAATGATAAAGTGACCTTACTATATGATCAGACATTAAGGAAACATGCTATGTTGAAGTGCTGGCTTCTCTGACAACAATGCAGCAGCCAGTATGTCCTCCTTCTAACTTTAGATTCTGGTCCTGAATGCTCTGGATTTGTTTGGACCAGAGAAGGTAGGTGGAGAGCAGTTATCAGGTCAACAGGTGTTGCAGTGATGGAAGCGGGCAAGAGAAGTGGTTCAGATAGAAGTGATTGTACCCGACCTAAAAAGCCTCTGCATGTTTCTAATAAGCTCCACGAGCAGAAACGTGCTCAAACTAGGATCAATATTGGAGATGCTTTTGAAAAATGGAGAGAGGTTAGAACACAGAAAGGTTTACAGACTGATGCAGAGCTGGATAAACACTGAAGCTTCAGTGTCCACCACATGGTGACCTGTGTGAGCATCGACTCTAGAGAGGAGGGGGGAGACAGCGCTCTGCAATGTTTTGAATTTAGACTGCAGTACCCACTTCAAACACTAGGCGTCAGACTTAACCTCAGCATTCATGTGATCTTTGTTTTTTGTCTTCTTCAGGGAACAGAGGTCCAGGTGGAGGACATAAAGAGAGTCTACTCTCTGTTCCTGGATGAGAGCAGATCCTCTCAGTACATGAAGGAGTATCAGGACTCTTTCCTCTTCAATGAAACACGTGAGTTTTCTGCTCCTCTGCTCTCTCTCTCTCTCTGGTAGAGTTAGATGTACTCACTGCTTCGAATCACACACAGCTACGGTTAACTTTGAAGCTGCCTTCACAGCAGCACAAGTGAAAGTCAAGCAATGCATCAGAATGCTGAAACAGACTTTTACCCACGGGCTCCTGCTGCGATCTGCTGCCGTCTGTAAGAAGCTTTCAGTGTCGACACGCTCGTTAAACTCCAAATATAAAGAAACAAATACAACACAACAGAGCGGCATGAGTTCAGCCGCCCTGTCATGTCGAGTAAAAACAAAGTTTGTAAAACAGGTTTAAGATTTTTCTATCTTCTGTTGTGATTAATGAGGCTGTTTCTGTTCTTACATTTCAGAAACACCTCAGATGGACACCTCGTAATGAAGACGACCGCTTTGTTTTGATTCTGTTTAAAGTTTCTGTGTTGAGCCCCGTCCGAGGCGCGAGGCAGTTCACGGCTGGATTGGAGAGTACTTTGAAATTTTCCCCGTTAACATCAGTTCTACATGATTTGCAGATTTCAAACTCTGACTTACCCTGTATACTGTTCATCGTTGAGGCTTTGTGGCAGACCGCTCCACTCCTTCAGTGATCTCTTTCTTCTTCTTGTTGAGTTTTTTATTTTCTCGGTTTATTTTTATGAAAATAAATAAACAAGCTTTTCTAAGCAAACTGTGACGATTTGTTTTCTTGAATGCAGAAAAAACAGATTTGATTTGGGAATCTAAAATCAGACAATCATAAATCTTTTTTACATCTCAGTCAAGCTTTTTCTCTCTCCTGAACCTCCAGTTGATGGTTTAAACCTTTTCAAAATGACATTATCGCTAAAACTATGGTCTAAAACAATGGTCCCTGTATTTCCAAGGATTGCTAGATTTAAAAAAAAAAAAAAAAGTGCTGTAGAGAGATTAAAAAAGTGAATCAATTCAATGCTTTCTGATTGTTTTTCTCAATCACATTTATCCAAAATGTTCACAAACATTTCTTCACTGCTAGACTGACTGCCTTAGTTATTTCTAACTTGTCTCCCCTAATCAAGAGTTCATTCACATCTGATCTCATCAAGTCATTCCTGATTATTTGTCTTAGTCCTCCACACTAAGGGCTCGAGCAGAGAGCTTTGTTTTCCACATCATATCGTACTACATTTGTTAGCAAGTCTAAAACAAAAAAAAGATGAAAAACAGTCTCATGCTTTATAAATGTTTCCACCAGGTGGAGCCGTAAGCTTGTTCTTTTAAGCAGTCAAACAAGATAACTGACACCCTAAAAATATCTCCCTCTGCCTGCATCATGTCGTTTATCACAGAAGTCTTAATGTGTGTGCGTGCGTGAACTGTAAATGACTGCAGCTCGTCTGCACTTTTATCTCACACCCAGATACAGTAAAGTTGTTACCCTGCTGACACACAAACACACACTTCCTCACACCTTGTATTTCGATAATTAACCACCAAGGGGTGAAAATCCCATCAACCCAACATCTTCATCAGTTCACTTTTAATTCATATAAATGTTAGAAGAAGAAGATGTAAACGGGCTGCTAACTTTAATTTTTAAACACTACCAAAGAGGTCACAGTATTGTTAGATATGAACCAGCTTGCTCTGGCTAATGGCTGCTACAATTTACTTAAATGGTGATAAAACTGCAGTACATACGAGTTGGTTGTACACAACAGGAGTTCCTCAAATGAGAGAAATATAGAGAAAGGGGCGCCAGTAGCCTAGTGGTCAGTGTGCACACCCCATGTACGGAGTCTTCGAAGTGGGCAGCCAAGGCTTGAACCTCACCCGTGGCTCCTTTTCTGCATGTTATTCCCCCCTCTCTCTCTCTCTCTCTCTCTCTCTCTCTCTCTCTCTCTCTCTCTCTCTCTCTCTCTCTCTCTCTCTCTCTCTCTCTCTCTCTCTCCCTGATTTCTCTGTCCACTGCCCTGTTTCTACAGTAAAGGCATAAAAAGCTCAAAAATAAACCTTCAAAAAAAATAAATAAAAAGGGAATAAAATGATGTGAAAGATTAAAAGCATAAAGAGATAAAATATAAAAGATGTGAATCACTTCACCATTTTTTCTTTTACAGATTGTGGTCATGACATGATGTGTGATAAATAAATTAACACTAATGTATCCACAGTAATGTTAGCTGAAGCTGTTAGCAACATGTTCCTCGTGAATCCAAAATAAAGTTGCAACTCTTCTGTGAGGGAGGCCGACAGGGATCTGACGTCATTAAAAGTGTGTTAGTGCGTGATTAAAACGTTCTCACGCTGAGGGAGAAAGTGTGACTTGTTTCTTATTTATTTTGATGAATTCAGACCTGCAATGTGTTCTTTGCTCTAAAGGAGGCTTTGGGGTGAAGTAGGTGCGTATAAGACAAACTATCACAAAGACATTACACATTAAAATAAATCTGAGATGCCGACCGAGAGCCGTGTGCAGAATTTAGTCTTTGCGATGTGTTGATTATAAAAGCTCATACTGCGAATTGGATGACATTTCAGTGATTTAAATTAGATTCAATCATTCCCTTTAAACCTCAGCCTTGACTCCCAGTCTGCAGATATTACCCATAATCCTCCACCAAGAAGCTCCATTTCATTCATAAGCAATCAGCAGATTGATCATCGTTACCTGAGCACAGCGAGAGAGCAGCTCAGACGGTCTCCTGCGTGGAGATGAATATTTAATGTTCGGTGCTGGTGGGAGAGAGTCCTGCGTGGATTACCCTACTGCTGCCTGCAGCCCGTAACCCCTCCATCCCCCACCCCCATCCTCCACCACCCACACCCACCCACCCAGCCTCAGTTGGTCCCAGGAGGCTGCCGCCTACCAACACATCTGATGGATCCACTGGTCGGATTAAAGCTGGGATAAACTTCACCAGGGTTCAGCTGTTTGAATGCAAAACAGGGTGTGATTGGGATCAACTAGGGCTTAGCAATATCAATCAGCAATATGTAATATATGTAGGGAATAAAATGATAAAATGATATCACTATTTTACAATTATCTGCTCATTCAAATCTGCCTATCAGCTGTTTCAGTAAAGCTTTTAAGCATCTTTACGGTTTGCAACATTAGATTTTTATTTCTGTGTGCAAAGATTTGTAAATAAGACAAAAGAGATCCATCGTTTTGGTTTTGGATCGTCTTGTGTTATGAGCATTTTAAAAACACACATTGGATGGATGGATCGTGATACCTGCATCAGATTTTGTGTGTTCAGAGTTAAAAATGTGTCCTCATATTGGACAAACAGATGTTTTGTTTGTTTATCCTGGAGACGTTTTTTTTGCTGCAGTGTCTCTCTGAGTACAAATCACAGAGTCCAACTCACACTCAGCTCGGGCCGCTCTGTGTGAGAGCAGATTTCTTGGACTGGTTCCTGCCCTTTGTCTCCACATCACTGTCCGCGGGCTACGAGGCTGCTCGGCATGCTAACATGTTGTGGCATTTTGCCTGCTGCACACATTTGGGCGCCCTTTCTGCACCACGGTCAGGTCACAGCAGCGTTCTGAAAATGTCCTCCTATCACAGAGACAGAACCCCACCCTCCTTTCCCTAATATTTATAGACTTTTTATAACCAGCGGGAGCTTTTACACACAGTCAGGACGGATGTTCTTCTTTTATGGTTTTCAGCTGGGTCACAGTGACAGGCAGCAAAGATCTGCGCTCCATCGACTGTGTCAGAGGTCGTCTGACATTCTTACAGTCTAATGAGACTTTCACTTTGAATGTCATTAGCTTAATGTATCAAAATCAATGACATCACTCATGAAATCTATCGACACGTTCAATCAATTTCATTGATTTGACAAACTGTCAGCTAAAGCTGGGATGAACACATACTTTCACCTGTCAACCTGGAGTCACATTCAGTAATAATAATAATAATTCAATTATCCAAAAAGAAACCTTGATAAAGGACCCTCAGAGTCCTCTATAAGAGGCATGAACAGGTTTCCTTAAAGAGGACATATTATCCCCCTTCTCCACCTTTTCAAACAGTCCCCTGTGGTCTAAATGAAACATCTGTGCTGTGCTTTGGTTAAAATATAACATGAATCAAGCACCAGAGGAGGTTTGTGACCCTGTATAAACCAGCTCTCTCAGAACGCTCCGTTTGGTGTGTGTGTCTCTTTAAATGCAATGAACCCCCCTGAGTTTTCCCAGTAGACATCACTCCTCTGTAGAGAGAATAAAAATAGCGGACCTACGCTAAAGTTTATTTTCTCGGCTGTGGGTGGAGTCCATGGGTGGAGATATCAGGGGAGGGGAGGGGATTCTTCTACCAGAATCCCACTGTGACATCACAAGGAGAGCACATTTGAAACAGAGCATTTTTCTCTGTGTTGTAAGACTTATGCAGACCACAAACAAAGGACTGGATGGGTTTATTTCACATTTTGTGGGTCAGTAGACACTCAGGCTACACAAATATATGTTCAAAAACACTGTACAAGTGGGTTTTTTATAATATGTCCTCCTTAAAACTAGGACTTGATGTTATCGTGCACAAATCAGTATACTTTAAAAACTTGATCAGTACACATGTAACAGACTCAGTGTCTTTTAGAAAAACACTCCAACACATGCTGAGTCTCTTTGTCTTTTTGTGATCAACCTGGACTTCTCTTGACTCATGCACCTCTTTGAAAGCAGGGTCTATTATGAAAAGGTCACGTTAGCTCTCAGTGCACAATAAAATATATTATTTCTTGGAGCTGCATGTATTCATTTGGAACAAACCCCTTTAGCATGTTGCCTTCATGTCCATTATATTGTTTAATTACCTCTTGTCACACTTTCTCTTTGAAGTCATGATTCCTCAAAGAGGATTTTTAGTCTTCCTGTGCCGTTCATGGATGGATGGTACTTTTCAGTTTCCGAGGTTTCCAAAGAAAAATAAATCTCAATCCTCCCGCATGTTGAAGACTGTACCGTGTGACTCCTCTAGTGAAACGAGAGCACGAGGTCACAGGAAACTCACTCTATCTGCTTCCCTGTCCCTGCTGTCAAAATGACATACTGCAGTAAACAACAGGGACAGGGCCGTGTTCTGTGGACATGCAGAGACGCCATTCTAGCTGATGAAAGTGATTGTGCTATTAGATCGACCTTTGAAACGTCTATTTTAAGGTTAAAAAGTGACATATAGTCGCTTTAATCTGAAAATATTGTGGGTGTTTCTGGACATCCTTTTCCGACATGTCTGTTTAGTCACTGTGAAATTTTAGTTCATGATTCATTGCTTCGAAGTACAGGAAGTTGTGCATTGTAATGACCAACATCTCCTACAGCGCTCTACAATGTTTTGAATTTGGACTGCAGTACCCATTTTAAACACTAGGTGTCAGAGTTACATATTGCTCCTTTAATGAGGAAAAACACGGAAACGTCATTTTTCTCAGTTGTCATATGTGTGTATGTGTGTGTGTGTGTGTGTGTGATGTTTTTAAAAGTCTGTACGCTGCACACATCTGTGTAACCTGAAAGAAGCTGATAATTGCCGGTGTGTGTGTACATACTGTATGTATGCTCCTCTGTCTCCATTCACACAGAGGTGTTTCCATTCATGGCTTCAGTCATTCACAAAGCCGCCTCACTGCCTCCGCTTCACGTGCCGGGCCCGTGAATGCAGATGCTGCTGTGCACACACGCGGGAACATCCACAAATAGCCTCTGGAAGTTTTTCTGAATCAGTTTATGCTGCAGTGGAAACAGAAAATCTAAATATGGAAACACAAGAGCTAAAAACGGCAACTAAAGCCAACCGACATCGTTCAGTGTTTGCCAAGTCAAGCATAATCTCATATTTAATTCAGAAAACTCGGCTATTCATAACTCACACTTTCTGCACGCTGAGCCCTCCGAGGCCCTCAACAAGCACAGCCCTGGTTACACTATTCCACTGTCAATTTACATTACATCCTCGTTAGCAAGCATGCAAATCAGATTAATCCCTCACCGCATTGGGGACCTCGCTGGCGCAGTTTGAAACGAAGCCATCGCCTCAAGGCCTGATGGGAAACGAAGAGTGCTCATTAGCACGGGCTTCGGGGTGATGACGTCTTCTGCTAACGTGGCTCCACTGACAGCGGCCTCGACCGTTTCTCGCCATTCATGTCTCGTTGCGTCGTTCGTGTTGGCTCCTTCATTGACATTGCTCAGCCCACCATGAAAGCACATCTCTTATTCATTCCACATGGGCAGACAGTAAAGAGGAGGAGGACGTCTCATGCTTCCTCTGGAACATGTGTCGGCCTCCTTAATGACACAGTAACGTATGCAGAGCTGTGCATTAATGCAGACTCTGACAGCTGAAGGTTATCGGCTCCTCGGGCTCAGCTGTTCATTCACACTGAAATAAGAGAGCAGAGAGAAGAGATGCTCAACAACTGGAAAGGAAGAAGAAGAGGGGGAGAAATCTCTCAGCTGTATGACGTCCAATCTGGGAGGCAATTATGTTTGAACTTTTTCCTCCAAAAACAAGCACTTGGGTGTTGATTTTCTTATTCTTCTTGTAAATATTTGTTGTGTCTTTTTGATTTTCTGTTAGAAATGAGGCACCAGAAACCCTAATTTTATCATTTTATAAGGAACATCTGCCAACAAGAACATAATTTGTTTGTAGCTCATTTTCTTTGCAATCTTTTCTTTCAATTTACAAGTTTTCAGAGCAGCCAGCATACTTAGGCAAATACCATTTAATCCAGTTTATCTCTTTTGCTTCCTGTGTGATTTATAAATGAAATACATTGATTACATAAACTTGGGCGGCAGTATCTCAGTCTGTAGGGACATGAGTTGGGAACGGGAAGGTCACTGGTTCAAGTCCCAGTCTGGACCAAGTCTTGAAATTGGCCTGGTAACTGGAGAGCTCCTGACCACTGCTGAGGTACCCTTGAGCAAGGCACAAAACCCCCCTCCAGCTCAGTAGTGCTCACTGTGTGCAGCCCCCTCACTCTGACATCTCTCCATCAGTGCATGTCTACAGGATCCTGTTATGTGTGTAGCATGTTCAACAACAGATTGTAAAATATAATTTCCCCTCGTGGGTTTATTAAAGTATATCTTCATAACTCGATGTAAACCCCCCCCCTGTATTCACATCTCAAAACCACATCTGGGTGATTGAATTGTTGTTGTTTTGCAGCTGATAGTTTTTGTGACGTGAAGGTTGTTGATGATTTTCCCACCTTGAGGGATCCTTTACGTTCCCCCAGAAACAAAACCTGGGTGACTGGGGTTGAGAATTGGGGAACTAACAAAACACTACACTTGTCCCAAAGGAGGTAGAAAGAAGAAGAAGAAGTGGGCCTTTGGTTTCTGCAAAGGTGGCAGTAAGAACATAGCCGCCCACCCCCCCACAGCCACCAACTTGTTCTACCTAAATGATGGACAAATGGAAAATTGGAGCTGAAACCAAAGAGAAGTGGGAGTCCCTGGACAGAGGCGGAATGGGATGGAATAGAAAACTATCACTTCAAACACTCACTCAACTCAACTTACATTTTCACTCTAACAGAAACGACAGCGAGCCGACTGATGGCATTGACTCCCTGGAGACACACGGCCAACTGAGCAGGGAAACCCCAGCCTCCCTTTAAAGCCTCCCAGCACAGCTGGTCGTCATCAGCCATCAGGTGAGGGAGAACATCACATGTGCATTCAATAGCTCCTGATGAGCAAAGAAACATGGTGGAATAGTTCTTGGGAATCTGTCCAACGAAGTGACTATTTTTCGCCTTTTCCTCAAACAGCATGGATTGTGTTGTTGTTTCTTGTTGTTAACTGATCACTGTTTCTTCTTTAAATCCTTTCTTTAACTGTTCAGTCCTGTTGGTAGGATAACAAACGTGCTCCATGGGCCAGTGGACGACAGTTTGACAGTCTGCCACTTGATCTTTACAGAAGTCTCGGCTCATCCTCGTGTTGTTTTCCCCGCTGAATATAAAATGAAATTCCCTGAACTGAAACTAATTTCTCCCAGGTTTGATACCAAACATATAAAAACTCTTGGCTCATGGATCTCACGCTCACATCAAAAGACTCAGTCCACATTTCAACATGTGTATCCAGGTGTGATCAGAGACTCCTGCAATGTTTCCACCACATTTATTCCCGTGAAGGTGACTGCGTTCCTGCAGTGTGAGAAGGGTTGGAAAAAGTCGGCGGGTGTCTGCAGAGAGAGGTGAGAGATTCACAGCCGAGGTGTGATTCTGCACACTGCAGATACTTCTTCTTCCTCTGCAGCCTTTTTCTCTCATTTTGAGATTTATGATCACATCTCCTGTTTCTTACCGCTGAGCCGCTAACTCTGCATTAATCATCAGATCGGCACACCGACGTCTCCGCTGCCTACATCCAAACGTTTGGTGGAGTCAAACTCAGACATGATTACACCGAGTGTGGCAGGGATTGCATCATATCTGTTATTCCAGCTCAGGAGGAAAGCATGTAAAAAAAAATATTGTTGAATATAAAAATTCTCTGGAGAATCTTAAAACTCGTGTTTCCTGTTAATACTCTGTTATTTTAAATCCCCAGACTAATTAAATGTGTTTGTGCGTGTTACCGCATCATAAATCTGTTGTGTTCTCATTTCATACTGAGATGTTTGAATCTGTAATAGAGCCATGTTTGGCCTCTAATTCAAGTCTTTACATGATTTTAACTTGTTTACACCAAACTCTGATGAGTGGTTTGCCATCCTCAAATGAAGCTGCTTGATCTTCTTCACATGTGATGAAGAAACATTTTTATTTATGTATGACACTGTTTAACTGCCAGAATGCTTTGTACATGGAAACATGGAAACACAACTTTTTTATTCTGACATTCATTATTTGAGTGACAATGAACAGTGAGCAGAGGCGCTGCTAGTCAACAGGCAAGGCAGGCAACTGATTGGAGCCCCAGACCAGTAGGGGGCTCTCAAGGGCTGACAAACTTTAAACCAAAGCAGGGGCTCAAAATGTGCAAATTTCGCAATGACAGTAGGAAACCTCCCAAAGGGGGCCCCATCTGACAGCACTCATCTCATATCGTACCGTACAGTACAGTACCGTATCGTAGTACGCTGCAGCCAATTAGATTTGAGTATTGAACCTGACAATTGTCTAAAGCTTGATGATTCTAATAGGGCTTGGTATTTGATGAATAAAGGAACGAGAAAGCTTTAGCACTTTAATGTGTTGTTGCCATCATTTATATAAACTAATTTGTGAATTTTAAAAGAGCATGCAGTCCATGAAAGCTGCACAAAGTGTTCACGATTAAATAGACTCATAGGTATTGGTTTAATGTCTAATATGGATCATGTTTCTTTTACAAATACACTGCAGTTCATAAACATTAAGATCCACAAATCTTTAAGTACGTTCATCACGAGTGTTTAATGTATAATATACATATGACATTAATGCAAGAAATTGGTTAAATTTATTCATTTTAAAAACAAACACAGGAAACGTAACACTAATGGGGGGTAGAAAAGAGAAAGGATGATGTTATTCTTACATTTTAAAGTGTTCGTTTTTTACTTGGAATGAGAGCTGACTTTGTTCCCCCTGCGCTGAGTAAACTCTAAAACAACAGACTGCTTTTATTCCTCATGCGCGGTAACATTTAAAAAATGGATAACATAATAAACAGTGCTGCTTTTAAACCCTGAACTGAGCTGACATTTTGAAGCTTCACTTCCACCTGCAGCTATTTTTCACCCTGATTTTACCCTCCGTGTCGCACAGAGTTTGTGAGAAGTGCAAATGGAAATTCCAGTGCTCGCTAGAAAAGGGGGCTGCCCTTTTTCCTGCCTACGCCCGACTGTTTCCTGCCTGCTGCATGACTAGGTGTGTTGACTTTGAGATGGGAGCGTCTGACTTCTGGGGTTCGTGTTGGTCTGACTGTGGGAAAGGGTGTTGGTTTCTGCGGGTCAAGCACTAATTCTCCACTTTGAGCTTCCTCTATAGCTGCTGTGTAATCTTCTCCTCAAAGTGAGATCTGCTGAAAACGTAGCGCTGCTTAATTAAAGGCTTCGCATCCAACATCTCAAGTCTTCCTTTGTCACAGCGGCACTGTGCACTTACTCTTTGTGTTTGTGCAGCCCTGTCATAGACAAGTCCATTAGTGCTATTAGCCTCTGTTCTGTAACTCTGCCCTTTCTATAATGAGCGTGCACACTGAGGGCCTTCAGCTGAGGACTTCCTCTCAAGGTAAATATCTTTCTTTCCTCCCCCCGATGGAGCCCTGTGTTGTGTCTTTGACGTATCAGTGCGTCTGTAAACTGCTCTGGAGACTGCAAGATTACTCTCCAAACTGAGTCTCACAGAGGTCTGCCTCACTGCACCTGAACAATACAGCAGTTCATTCACAGACTCACTCCGGCCGTCTCTCCCTGCGATAAAAATCAAGTCTTTGTGAGACTCTACGAGAGGAGGAAAAACGGTGTCGTGTTCTCCTAAGTGGGGTGTTTTTTTGTAAATGAAAGCATGTGCATAAATGTAACACATTTAACCTGCTTTAACCAGATCAGTGTTACAAGCATGGTGTATCTTTTTGGTATTGGTTTAAAATGGGACATGGACTGTTCAAAACATGGACATATTAGTGTTTATAGTCTACAGTGTGAGGAAGAGGAACAAGTCAATAAACACAGTCCTGGAAACCTGGCTTAAAGAAGAGAAGGAAATCATAATCTCTGACCTTTTGACCTTTTGACCTTTTAGTAGATAAAGTCGTGCACTTTAGTACATGTATGGTCAGTGCAGTGTAGTCTCCTCCTGGGGGATCCCGAGGCGTTACAATACCAGAAGAGATATATAATCCCTCCAGCGAGTTCTGGGTCTACCCCTGGCTCTCCTCCCAGTAGGATGGAAGACCTCCCGTAGCGAGGTGAGGCGACCAGGAGGCCTCCTGATCAGATGCCTGAACCACCTTAGCTGGCTCCTTTTGATTCAAAGGAGCAGCGACTACTCAGAGCTCCCCCTGAATCTCTGAGCTCCTCACGCTCTCTCTAAGGATGAGCCAAGGCAGTCTCTGGAGGAAACTAACTAACTAACGCTTGTATCTGCAATCTCATTCTTTTGGTCAAATAAAGCTCATGACCGTAAGTGATGGTTGGAACGTAGATCAACTGGTAAATTGAGAGCTTTGCCTTCAGGCTCAGCTCCCTCCTCCCCATGACGGTCCAACCTTACTGGGGCCTTACTTGGGCCGCCGCACCAATCCGCCTGTCAGTCCTGCGATCCATTTTACCCTCACTCGTTAGCAAGACCGGTTTTGATCTGTTTTTTTTTTTTTTTATGTACCCATATTTGTGTTTGTACATGTAAACATCATATCCTAAATTTCAGTAACCAGGCTAAGCCCTTATCCCAGTTTTGAGAAACCTGATTTTGCTACCTGGAGCCATGGTGATTTCCAAGGCTGTCTGTTCTTCAGAAAAGAAGCCCTGAAATCACGTGTTATACTCGTAGTTTTTGTCTGTTTGTACGCATGTGTCTGGGTGGTGGAGGAGCGAGTACAGAGAGAGAGAAAACGGAAGTGAGTGTGTGTAGTCAGCCAATGTGTGTGTGAGTAACGTTGTTGATGTGTGACAGACTGAAGAGAAACAGAGACAACACTGAAGTGATTAAATAAGTTTATTTGATTTACAGACATGTACATTTTCTATCACAGTTCAGTTCTAGAATAATATCCTTTGATTTCTCAAACATCGCTCTTTTGTATTGACTTGCTCTAAAAATAAAAATCGCCTCTGTTTTCTGCTCAACATCAGAAAAAGGCTCTTTATACACGATTCTTGTATGACAAGAAATAGCACATTCTCAATACATCACTTCAGTGATTATTAACACAGAATTACTCAACACAACAGACGTTTACTCCTAAAAGGATCGGGGCTAAATCCACTACGTTTTGGCAAAAGTGAAACTCGATTCTTGACCCATCTGACCCGAGCCAATGTCCCTTCTTATGATGGATGACAAAAAGTCAGCACTTACTGTGAGCATGAAGTGACAGACCTCTGCTGAAGAGGCCGTGGAGTTGATGCTTTAAAGAAATCCCTGAACAATAAGTGTGCAAAATGGTTTTATCAGTTATTTAAAAAAGAAAAGAAAACTCTAACAAGAACTACAAAAATGAATGCAGAAGTATCGCACCCTAAACATGTCAGAAATGGGATGTTTGAAAAACAATCACACAGAAGTTCGTTTTGTGTGTTTTATGTGTGAGGAGTGTACGGTGGCTGATGAGGGCAAATACTCTGCAATGACCTAAAGGATAAGCATGACGTGAAACTGGTTGCAAATTTTAAAAGCAAAAAACAAATACAACAATGGAAACATGCTGCAAATGCACTTTTGCGATCTCCTTTTCTAGTCAGAGTAAAAAAGCTCCAGAAAGAGCGGGCTAATTAAACTGTAAAAATCTAAGCGCTAACTGCACTAATTGAGCTAACTCGCAAATGGTAGCTACACTTAGCATCAGTGGTTACTTCAGCTAAGCTATCTGTCCATCAGGAGCTGTTTCACCATCTTAAAATATAATCAAGTTTCACCTAAATCAGATCAGGGACTGAAGTGAGTTTTTGTGATTTTGATGGGTTTTTTTTAACAGAAGTGGTGCTTGGCCCTCAGAGGACCTCTGATCTATTTGTGTGTGTAGATGTTTTGGTCTGGTATCAATTAATAGCATTGTGCCCCAGTCTGCAGGGGCGTGTACAGAGGGGTGGCTAGGGGTGGTAGAGGGCCCCCCCTAGAAATCTGATTGGCCACCCCAAAAATCCTAATCTGTGATTGGCTATTTGCCCTATCAGATGTGGAGCTTATGTTAAAACAAAGGCTGCAAGTTTTTCACTTCAGGCCACCACTACATGAATCAATGCCCCTGTACGCTGTCCATCATAGAACTGTTTTTGTCCGGCCTGCTACAGGCTTGGAGCCCATTCGTTGTAATAACTGGATGTTGATTTGATGTTCTTGTTTTAGATTTCTGCAGCTCACTTTTTCACCAGCATTGAATCTGTTGTGATTGTTTTGGATTTTTGTGATTTTGAATTTGCAGCCGGTTTCTATTAAAGAAGTCTTTAAAGCCTTTGCAGTGTGTTTGTCCCTCTGGGCTACCGTAGCAGTCCGATTCATGATCACAGTAAAACAGGGCGACTCTTAGTGATGTAAAAAGGTGTTGTGTTGTTTCATTGTGATACAAACGGAGGAACATTTCTAAACCCAATGACAAACAGCAAAGTGTAGTATACTCAAACATGAAACTTCCCTCGATAGATTATTCTTCATTATGATAACAAACAAATAAATACATTGCATCCAAGCCATCATTTACAATATATTAAAGTCGCTGCGTGATATAGCTTTATATTTCTCTATTGTAGTTATAAAAAAAAAACTCATTTGGTAAAATTACAAAAAAAAAGTCGATAAAAGGAAGGTAAGAAGCTTAGTTCATTAAGATGTAGGTGTGTAAACACGTCAGGTTGGACGGAGTCACATTCAGAGCGCTCCACGCAGTCGGAGAAAAGCTAAAGCTAATGATCTGTAACAAGGACACAGCCCACACAAGCACCCCACACACAGGCGGTGAGTCATGCTCGCACATCATTGCTACAAAAAGCACCTCGATGTCTCCCTTTCTTCCTTTGCTGAGGTCAGACCCCCCCTTCCTCCTCCTCTTCCTCCTCTTCCTCCTCATGTGTTTTCTCAAAGGTCTGCAAAGTGCTTTTTTTTCCCTTTAATGCACAAGTTTTAAAACCTTTGACTCCATTAGTGGCTTCAAGGTTTCTGTAAAACTGTAACCAACAGACTAAAGAAACGTCCTTCAGGTAGCTTCAAATTAAAGTTATTTTTATGTACAAACAACTAACTAGGGTAGATTTTTATCCTCTTTATGGGGTTTTATATTTAATCATTTGCAAATATGATACGGTTATTAAAGCATGAATATTGTCTAACCCAGGTTTTCCATATTGTGTACTATCCTGTCTTCTGTACATTTTACATCTTATGTCACAGGGACTCTGGACCCTGTGTTTCCTGCAGGGACATCTGAGATCCTGCCGGTCTGCTTTCAAAGGGGGATTCCTCGCTTATCAGTTATCAAAGTTAATGAGCGCTCCCCATCAGTCCAACCTGCAGCGGAGGAATTTCCTGTTCCTGTCTTGGATTACGAATTCCCTCCGAAATAAACCGATAATTGTGACTCCGGGATTCTTTCGTTCAGACGTGGAATGGGATATGTACAAAAGCGAGGGGAGGGGGACAATGGTTGCAATTGTAACCAGCATGGAGCGGACTGGAGTCCATCATTAAAAGCCACTCGGTCTCTGTGTGGGTTTTGTGTCCAGAAATTCAAAACCAATCATCAGAGAGCTGACCCCCTTTAAAGGGAAACCTCGCTCACTGATAAGGCAGTGTGTACAAAAAGGTTGGTTTCCTTTAAAAAATATGTTTCTATTGCTTCTACACGAGAACAAAAGTCCAAAGAGTAGCGTCAACTTTTGGGGAGGGGGGGAAAGAAGCATATACAATATAAATTATAAAACATTTCATCCAGTGTTCGCTTATTAAACTGCCCGGATTGCATCAACACCCCTCCTTGAAACAATCATAGGCGGAAAAACCTCCAGTTTCAAAATCATACATCACGACAAAAAATATATAACAAAAAAAAAAAAAAAATGGTGACAAGAAATAATGTGCAGAAATCTCTCATCTCCGTCATGCTCTGTGGTGCTGTCTGCGCTGATTTAAGTGCTAAAAGCTCAAAGTAAAATCACATGTAAGGGGGGGCCAAAGAAACAGCAGACAAAGCTCAAATTGTTAAGGCTGATTCACTGACCCCTCGACTGAAACACTATTTGGCTCCTGGTTGACAGCTGTGTTTACATGCACGGGTTTTATTGTAAGAAGACTGCATCTGCCATGTGAACAGGATGGAGGTCCACGATGTAAATACTGCACATTAGGATATGCAGGGTTGTCTGATAATGAGAAGCACATGTCTGTAAAGGCAGAATATTGCAGCTTCTATCGTGACCGGGGCTAAAGACGGGGCTTCATGAGTCCAGTTTTTAAAAATGACTTTTCTTCTACTGGCTGCTAACATAAGCCACTTAATCAAACTGAATTCATAACAAGGAGCGGGGTTATTTTGTGCATGTAAACACAGTCAGAGATGGAAGTCATGAGGGTGTCGGTGGTCAGTGCAAAGTCTGAAGGAATGTAATGACGCCATGGCACTTGGTGCGGATCAACAGCCAAGGAACAGACAGACAGACACATAGGAGACGTGAAGACGTGAAGACAGACAGACAGACAGACAGACAGACAGACAGACAGACAGACAGACAGACAGGGCAGGTTCATGGTCAGCTTTCAGTAGTATGGCATCATGAGTCAGAGGGGGTCGCGAGGATCAGTGGATCCTCACAGACAGAGGTGAGGAGGACACCAGCTGTCGTCCAGCAAACCGCTGTGCGACATCAACACACAGTCTGTGATCTGGAGGCGTTTCAAAGAGGGGCAAGACGCTCCCTTCAGTTCCAGTTCTGAGTGGCCTCCACGAGAAAAAAAGTAAGAGCAGCAGCAGCAGAAGTATGAGGAGGAGGAGGTGAGGGATGATCATGGAGGTGATGGCGGTGATGAGAACACGGGCGTGATTTCAAAGGCGTGGATCAGCTGCCCTGTTTTTTTTAATTTTGTTTATCTCCAATTTGTCATCCTTGTTGAGTTTGGTTGCTCCTCCAGATTGCTCCTCATATGGCTGTCACCTGAAAGACAGAAAGAGAGAGAGACAGAGACCGTTAGACAGAGGGACAGAGAGAGTGAGACAGACAGACAGAGTGAGAGACACAGACAGAGAGAGTGAGACAGGCAATGAGGCAGACAGACAGACAGACAGACAAACAGAGAGAGTGAGACAGACAGACAGAGAGAGAGAGAGAGAGAGAGAGAGAGAGAGAGAGAGGGAAGACACAGGAGAGTCCCGCCTCTCCACAGGACATTCTCATGTAATTAATGTTGAGATTGAAAGCTCCTGGGCCATCTGTTAGGACCTTCCTGATAACACCATGACCAGCCTGTGACCTAAATATGTCCAGCATACCGACACATAAACAGTTTGTTTAATGCAGACCCCCCTCCCCACAACCCCCACACACCCCACACCCCCAGTCTTTGGAACAGAGGGCTGTAAGCTGCACAAACACAGAGCTGCTGTCAGATCCACAATCTGTAAGTTAGACGGATCAAATGTTTAACTCAACACATACACAAAGATTAACGATGGATGCTGATGAAGAATTATTATCAATCTGATCGGTTTGAGGCGTTTTAAACGCTTCAGTAAGAATACAGGCTGCATACGCTGATGTGAAAACCAAAACAAAACGTGTGTGAGCAGCGCAGCGTCAAACGTTAGATCATCTCGCACTAATCCAAAGTGTTCACATCATGACTCGAGTAAAAGAAGATACATAACATGTATGCACACATACTATTCATCCTTACACTTCCTGTTATTGTTAATTAAAGGTATAGTATGTAGACTGGACTAAACCCACGTCATATACTGTATAATCTTTTGTTGAGTTCTTACATCAACTGTCAAAGACCACTGCATAAGGAGGAGGGAGCTGCTGCTGAAAGCTGCCGTACTGTTGCTGTATGTGCTGCTGTGATTAAAACGTCATGTAGATTATACTCGGATACATTAACTCGTCTGTAAACACATTCTCTTCCTCAGGTCGGTTTCGCCCGGTTGTTTTGACTACGGTCAACTCAGAGTTTGTTTTCACCAGGGGGGAGTTGGGGGAGTAGCAGAGAGGATCATTCCCATGATTCCCCGCCAGCCTCGACTTCATCTTTTATTATCGTTTTTGACTGAGAGCCCCCTGACTGGGGATTTAACATACTGTATGTTTGAAAGACACAAATAGTGAATTTAAACAGCACATGTTTTTCAAGATCAGCCACGAACACATCAGGGAGAACATCTACAACCAGATGTGTCCGCCTCCAGGTCATTAAACATCCTCTTTAAAGCATCCAATCAGAGCAGCTCGTTAAGTTTTAGCTCTTTTTGTAACTTGTTCAGAGTAAAGGGAGCAGCGAACTTTAACGCCTTTTCCCCAGATCAGTTCATTTTTACAGTTTATTTGATGTTAAGTCCCCTGACAGCAGGATCACTTCACTATTTAAAAGACCAGGACAAACATGTATGTGTAATCATTCTTGGCAATCAACTCGATGCTGATTCTGATAAATATAATAAATCTTTATTTTGCTGACATCTTCAAAAGTCTTCCAGCTGTGATACTTTAATGAACAGAGATTAAAAGAGCGATGAATGTGGCTCCAGAGAGGAGATCTACCCTCCCTTTGGAGGCCATTAAGCCACGTTAGTGATCTCGTGTGATTGGTTTGGAGGGACGGCAGCGTGTCCCGCTGTGTGTTGTGGTCCGTCATCAGGCTGCCCTGAATGCTCCAGTACACAGACTACTACTGCTGCTACAACAGGATTAGCGCAGAGCTAACCCAGCTCACACTTTAACCACACACACACACACCTATCCATTCAAATACTCCAACATCATTATACCTGCACACATCTCGATGTGTTCCAGAAAAACAACAAAGAGCTAAATCATACAAACAAGGATAATAGCTTCACAGGAGGATTAGAAGATTCTGTAAAACATTGTGTTTTGTTCTGGAGCTGCAGATCAATCCTCTCTGGGATGAACCACTTCCCTCAATTATTGCCGTCAGTCGGTGCTTTAAACTGTGAATTGTTTATGAGCCAAACATAAGAATTAAATCCCTCAAATGCCAGCCAGGCATCGAGATAATTAGGAGTCATGGATGCTTTGATATGTGTGAGAGTGTCCTGCCTCCTCACAGCTTCTCTGTCACTGTGACAAGACTGTTGGTTTCTCAGACAAACAGAGAGGAGGTCTGAGAGGTCTGGCACGAAATTAAACTTCTGATCAAACCAAAGACTTGTAGTGGCTTTTAGCTGGGAAGAAGCCAATCATGACTCAACTCAGCTCATCGGAGATGCTGCAGATGTGGCTGTCTGCTCTTTTTGGAGAAACCAAACACACATTGTTTAAAGAAGTGAATAAAGCCAGCAGGACATACATAGGTTTCTTGGAGGGATGTGTGACTTTTTGATCCAGTAGAGGTCGCCCTTGAGCTCCAGCATGAAACCAAAACAAACTTCTCTGGTGACACCTCCTCCATACTGAACACCCCCCTTCCCCCAGTTTGCACGTAGGACTTTAAAAAAAGCATCATAATTAAGAGCCATTAAACACATTAAATCCTTGGCTCGAGCTGTAATCTCCTGCTCTGTTGTGTTAGCATGCTAATGTTAGCGCTCTTTAGTTAGCTCGTAGCTTCACATTGCATGTAAAGTGACACAGAATTACTGTGATCTAAACACACTTACGTTACATCGAAATAGTCAGTGAGTATGTTCTTCTTCTCTCTAGTCCTTGATTAAAACAGCTTTTATACACAAGGGGAGGAGCCGACCGTCCCATCCATGTAAACACGGCTCTGACAACAACACAGCCAGCGGGACTCGAGCTTCCTCAGATTTGGCATTTTGGGCATCATCATCTTTTTTCTATGGAGCTGGTCAGACACAGCTCATTTACATTTAAAGGTACAGGATCAGAGTGGATTTAGAACAAGAAACTTCACAGACGTGTTTTGGGGAGCTCTGAGACTTTTTTACACTGAAGAGGAGGAGGAGAAGATGTGACCTTTAATAGACTCGAGGATACACATGTCACAATGAGGCCTGGCTGTGCACTTCTGCACGTGTGTTTGGGTGTGTTTGTGTGTGTGTATACTCTACGGACACTCAGCTCTCACTCTGCATATCTGACTGAGGACGTACTCGCCTGCAGCTGAACAAACACTTTGGACTGTTACATTTGGGGCGGCTGCCACTTCATCTAAGTTTTCTTTTTTAATTTCCTGAGCAGAACGGGATTGTGGTTACTGGATAAATGAGTGTGAAGCTCTGCTGTCAGATCTCCCGCTGATCTTTTGACAGCGGCCGGCCCGGGGATGTCCTCTGTTATCGTGCGGTGCCGGGTGAGTCTGGTCAGCACCGGCCGCTTCCTCCCTGCTGAGGAAGTTAATTGGATCTCTGTGTATCTGATCTCCGTCTGGGATTGCATCGCTGGAGATTAATAGCTTGCGATGTATAACAGCTTAGGCGATTACAGCTTCTCTTTATCCTCATTTATTCGGTGGTCGTGTGTCTTTTCTCTCTTACTTTGAAATCCCTCTCCTACACTCCACTTCTCATCAGATATACACTTGCTTTAATCGAAATATTCCCCTTAATAAACTGCACAGTGCATCTTTTTTCTGTCCCTTCAATTCAGCTTGTTGCCCCCCTGGGACTTGTGGTTGAACTGTGAACTGTATTGATCAGAGAGTCAGACCCAGGGGAGGAAATATTGCCTGTCCCTGATTGGATTATCCTCCAAAACAAATGTTGGAAATCAATCACAGCGGAGCGCCTCCATGTTTCACTTTAGAGTCAGTTCACAGGCACATTCAACTCCGACCTCATGTTGCTGTAATCACTGTTCTCTATAATTAGCCCCGTTTGACAGCAGGACAAAAAGCTTTAGCTGCTGAGTGTGACACAGAGCGGATGAAACCCTCAGGCTGAGTGTCACAAACTGCTCCTGAAACCTGATCTGTGAGGCAGCCATGCAGGAGCCTTTCATGTCACCTGTCGTTAGCTGTGCATGCTAATGCCTCCCCGCCTGTGGTAATGACACTGCAGCACTTAAAAGTCCAAACTGGTGTTTTTTTGCATATCATAGCCCATTAGCTACCAATTGTGTGTCATTAATATTTCTGCAGACTGTTCTCCAAAGAATATGACTACTTTTAAGATCGATTTCCTGCCGTCGAGACAGCCACTGGATCCCATTCATCAGTGCTAGATGCAAATGATGTCGCAGCGCTTTGGAAGTTGCTTGTGATGGGTGATCCATCAAACCATTACTTTTTCCCCCCTAAAGTTAGGCTTTGTTAAGGGAGGATGTAGCTGCATGCAGAAAGTGTTTGGAACAGACATTGGCACATTAAGGATTATTCTGACTCTGCTGATTTAGAACAAATATAAAAACAAAAATAAATAAATAAATAAGAAACAACACTTCTTACATCATCATTTTAGTATTACTCATGATGATAGTCTTCACAATTCATGTGTACTCGAGTACGGTCTGCGGGAGATGTGAATGCAACCATGCTCAAACAAGGAAGTGCACCGCTATATGACTTAATTCTTAAAAACAGCTCCTGTTGCTTTGGCTGAAAAAAAAACACATTTTAATTTCTAAAATAGTATTAATCTCATGCTATTTTGTCCCTTCAGGCTCTCCGTAGATAGTGGTCCTCAGTGTCTCCCTGTAGTCTCAGTGATGTAAAAGAAGGACACTGCTGCATCTTTGAATGTCTCATTTCACTTTAACAAACTCTCAGACAGCTCAGCTGACGAGTCCAAAGTAATGTCCACCTTATGACATCACACATTGACCTTATGACATCACACATTGACCTTTGTTACCGTTCCTTTGAGCTGTTTGACCTCAGTTGGGGATCCCTAACCACTTTGTGTTTCTGTGCTTAACTTCATGTCCTAACCTTCACTCTACCAGAAGCTCCTTACTTTATTTCAAAATAAAAGCAGGGTTGTAGCTGAACAGGATGTGAAGTGACCTTATTTAACTTATTTGCCAAACATTTGATTAAAAATGTGATCAATTGTGATTCACTATTAAAAAATAAATGATTAATAACAATCTAGATTTTCTGGTATTATTTTGCATTAGACACAAAATTCCAAATGTTTTACACAATGAGACAATAAGGCTAGACCTTGAACAATGCTTTTCATCTGCCGATGCTCAAATGTCAGAGTGTCCTTGAACGCACCTTGGAGGGATATTTTTACAACAGTCATAACTTACTGACTTATGATAGACAGATAGTTCACTGTTATGATTCAGAGAAAGTCCACCATGTCTGTTTTGTTTCTTGTCTTTAATATAAGAGCTGGTTGTGAACAGGAGGTGCTGCGGCTATGTTTAATGCGGTTGTAATGTTGGGTGATGCCCGGGAGGAAACTACAACTCCCACGTCATTTCCTCCCCAGCTGTTTGTGAGGGGGGGGGGCTGCTGATTGAAACATGGCCGCACCTGGTCAGGACACGATGGAACAGTCAACACTACACCCTCTCATATCTCTTTCTTGACACAAATAAAAAAATAAATATCTGCACTCAATAAAAAAAAGGAACGGGTGGGCAGCTCAGGGGCAGAGGCACTGCTTGGGGCCCCAGACCAGCAGGGGGCCCCTGAGGGCTGACTAACTTAAACCAAATCAATGTGCAAATTCTGCAACGACAGTAGGAGACCTCCCAAAGGGGGCCCCATCTGACATTCCCTCACGCTGCCCTGCTAAGTGCGCGTGTATTATTGAGGTGAAAACCAAAGTTTGTCAATGAAAGTTACCAATGAAAAATCAAGAGGAATTATCCGTCTATAGGAGAGAAAAAAGAAACAGGACGTGATGATTCGAGGGCCCCTACTTGATTTTTGCCAAGGGCCCCGACAGACTCTCGCATCACCACCGCTCAGGAGAGCTGAAGATGGTGTTCTTTGGACCGCTGCGGCATGACGCCTTCACCAAGGACCAGCGTTAAGCAACAACCGAGAAAAGAAAACCACCTTGCTGTCACTCGCTGCTCTCCTAGATTTTTAGTTTCCTCCTGTTTGAAACTCTTCAGGAATTTGCACATTTATACAAAATTTCCATCAAATCAAATGCTGCCTTCAAATACCGCATGGAGACGGCACATCATCACACTGCGTCCAACTCTGATCTCTAACCGTCCTATTAGAATTCTCACACACCTGCATTTCCAAGTATTCACAAGTCGCTGTCATTTTATCACAAAGAACCCTCGACCTCATGCTTTTCATCAAATCTTGGCTGACATTATTTATTCCTGCCACTTAAACTAAAGTTGCTACCGCTGCTTCTTGGGTGGCGTGTGAATGGTGAATGGTCAACTGAGTGTGAAGAGGACGTTTAAATCCTTACTGGGTTATAAGGACATGAAGGAGGGGATCCAACCTTGACCTTCTGGCTGACCATGATAACCTTTCACAACAAAGTCACAGCACATTCCTCGTCCGTCTAATCAGTGAGTCAGACTTTAATCTTGTTTTCTCTTCACTTTGAACTTCAGTAGCTCCCCATTGTACCACCGAGCAGACTTGGCTGCCAACTCTTTGTGTCTTTTCTTCCCTCCATTAATAATTACAGAGGTTTTTTTTTTTTTTTTACTTTGTGTGTGTGAGTCTGATAAAGGCAGGAAGGCAGCGCTGGCCTTGATAAGACGCCAGATAGTCGGTCAAATAACTCCAACAACTTATTGACACTCTCTGAGAACAATGGGGGGAAACGGATCATAGATCAATCATTGTCTGTATCATCTTGTGTATCGACCGCAGCGTTCTGCGATGTCATACAGCTTCTTATCAGAGCGTCTCTGAAGTCCTGGACGGATCTTGTTTAGTGATCTCTGTGCCTCGGACGCTACACGATGCTTTCTAATGAGAAGAGCGAGCACTATAAATGTTAATGTGCCGCCAGCGTCTCTGTGTTATCAGCTACTTCAACTGCTGAAAGTGTCATATTGGCTCTTTTGCAGTAAAGGTAATTTACCTGGTCATACCTTGACTGAGGAGGTGGGCAGAGTCAGCTGGCTCAACCTGAGGAGAAAGGAAGAGAACGGGGAGTTAGGATCAACATATATATAACAGAAAGAGACAATACTTTCATGAGGTTGCAGAGATTTGAAGGGACATTTGAAGATACTCAGAGAAAGGTCACCTCAATAATGAGAAATAACAGAGTAATCATTTCTACTCCAGATAAAACGGTCACAATGCCTTCGCACTCTGCACGTTAAAATAGGTATTTCACAGAATAAGGAATGTACAGACATTAAAGACTTCCTAGAGAATGTTTTCAATACATTTGTATTCATTTATTTTGTGTCTAATCCCTCACTGTCTGACTGTGAGATCAGTGTGAAGATCTGGTTGAAAACTGGTTTAAATGGAGTCAGTCTGGGGAGCCCCTTCCTTAGCGGTTATGACGTTCTCCCCATGTACAGAGGCTATAGTCTTCAGCTCAGCAGCCGTGAGTTTGAATCTGAACTCGGCCCTTTGCTTCATGTCATCCCCCATTCTCTCCTCCCAAAATGTTGTGTCTCTCTTCAGCTGTCCAATCTAATAAAGGCAGTCAGTCCACCAAAGTCCTCCTTCAACCATTGTTTAACCGGCTCAGATAACATCCAAGTGTCAAAAAACACAACTGTGTCTGTAATTGTAGCATCGAAAAGGCGATGGAAATTGTGATTAAAGTGGGATGTCTCTAGAATCATCTTGACCCATTATGTTTTTCATAAAAAAATCAGAAATACGACGAGAGATAAGGCTCGAGAATCATCTCAACAATTGTCTTTTTAATTATTTTCTTTTTTTTTGGGGGGGGGGGGGGGGGTGCACGATGCACAGTTCTGTTCTGTTAAGTGGATTGACTTTGTGACTCATCTTTCATATTTCACGGCCTCCGCTAAGCACTTTGAAATGCTTTTTGAAAAGTGCTTTATAAATAAAGCTTATTATTAAACATTTATTAGTCTTTTTTCCACCACTTTTCACCAATTTGACTCATCACACGCCATCTGTCGAGCTCGACCTGTCACTCACTACCTGACCCTTACTGAGTCTGAACGGTCGGGGCACAGTGGCCTCGCCGATGAGACAGATCTGCTCTCACACAACACTAAGTGTGAATATGGATCGGGTGAATGCACCGAGGAAGAGGAGGAGGAGGAGGAGGAGGGGGGCACGCACTGAGCTATAAATGGCATCCCTGCAGCCAAAAAAAGCTAACAACCTAGAAATAATAAAGCACTCTTCAGGGCTGGAAATAGAACGGCGCGCTCCAGTGAGTAACTTGTTCGGCTCGGCTCCCTTCAGAAATAGCGCTGAGTATCTGAGGACACACTCGGAGGAGGAGGGAGAAAAAAAAAAAAAACAGCAGCCAGCAAAGTGGCCGGTAAAGGCGGGGGGGGGGGGGTGGAATTTATAAATTGGAGGCTTTATAGTGTGAATGGAAACTATAAATATGAGAGTCATGAAACTAGAGGAGTTGTACAGAGTTGGGGATGTTGTCATCTCTCTCTCTCCCTGAGGTGCTGTTTGACACTCGTTACATAAGAGCTGCTGCTGTTTCACTTCTTTAGGATGTTTAGCGCGCACACACACACACACACACACACACACACACACACACACACACACACACACACACACACACACACACACACACACACACACACTCTCGTTGAGGTATGTTTGCTCTGTGTAGATGTATGTATGGATGTTATCTGACAAGCTAGCATATGATTAACCCACCTGTGGGTGAGGTATAAGAACAAAGGAACAAACAAGGAAAAGAACTAAATGAACGACCCTGACAGGACTGCTCAGAAATGTACCGTGAAGTTCACAATAACACTTTAAAACTTAAAAGGTCTTAAAAGTAAGATGCTGAATTATCATCACTGTAGAAGCATAAATCCAGCAGGACCTCACTAACCAAGACCAAGACATACCAGAGACCAGAGAGCTCCGAGACCGAGACAAGACCAAGACATTTAGGGATCAGGACCAAGTCAAGACCATAAAAATCATCTTAGACTGTAACAGCAGGAAGGTTGCGTCCTTAACCAAATAAATTGAAGATACATGTTTTTAGAAAGAGGCGTTGTCCTTCTCATCACTGTAACAAATTGGAAAAACGTCCATCAGTGGTGGTCTTGACCAGTCCTGATTTAAAATCCGGAGCCCGCCCAGTCTGAGGCCGAGACAAGACCGAGTAAAAATGCTTTCGATTCCGAGACGAGACTGAGACCTCCAAAAAGTGGTCTCCAGACCAAGACCTATTTCAAGTACTACAACACTAGTAGTAGTAGAAGGTTAAGTAGAAGTCGTTTTCCTCTGTTCAGGATTGTATTAGTGAAAAAGGACAAAAAGAGAAACCCCTCAGTGTCTCTGTTTAACATCTCAGAGTGTTTTAACTCCGTCTGTGGTCCTATCAGCTCTGCTCTGCAGCGTGCAGAGTGAGAGTCATAAAGGCGCGTGTGGTTGGATAAAGTTTGACTGAACATGTGCCATCTGCCCACACTGAGCAATAATGTGGTCAGATTGTTTGAACCACAAACTAGTATCTATTACTGGCACGACGGCAAGAGTGTGACTTTTCTTTAAGTCATTGTTTCTGCATTCGTTCCCTTTTTTTAAATTTTCCTGGATCACACCCAACAGAAGCCACAGCCAGGACTTAGTGCTGCTTTTGAAGAGACCCCCGTTACAGCTGTTCTTCAACATAACAGAGGAATTATTAACAGGCTGTGTGGAGGCTTGACCGCTCGGTTATTAAGTGTAGCAAATTCACTGAAACATGACGTTGACTGTTTGCACATTTCCTTTTTTTTTTAAAGAAATATTCACCTCACAAACAGTCTCACTCTGTTGTAGTTTTTCTAAAATCTCGCACATCTGTCTTTATGCAAGGCTTTGGTGTGGGAACACCCAGCAAAACAACTCCAAGGTGTAAAGAAAAACCAACTGCAGACAGACATCAGACTGCCATCCTGTCTAAAAACGTCCCTCATCTTCAACAGGAAGGAAGTCATTTCTGAGGGCGCTGGCACCAGGGGAGCAAGCCGGCGTGATAAAAAAGTAGGAAAAAATAGTCGAGAAAGAAACAAGAAGTCCATGTCTCACCATCCGAGTGGGGGATGAGTGTGTTTGTTTTAGCCTTTTAAGGCCATGACCAGCCACTGTGCCCTCTCGCTTCACGTCTTTTGGTGTTTGCAAGGGGAAAATATGAACGCACAGACGAGAGGGGCGGTAGCTGCTAAAAGTCTAAGTAAGCACACTTTAAGGAATTGATGGCTCAAACAGCTCGTGTCAGCTCGGGAGCACTTTTTGCTGACTTGGGCTTTCTCCCGGCTCGGTGGCCTTTCTGAGTCTTGCAACCTTGTTGGCATGTCTTGTCCCTGACACATGTCAAACCCCGGCATCAGGGTTAAAGAGCATAACAGTGTCCAGATGAATTAATAACCACGTTTGTGTCTCAGACTAACAACAATATTTCAGCCTCTTGCACTTAAGTGGTGTGTTTGGCTTTTTGGAGTCAGTGGAGGACATCTGCAGTAAGTATTAAATATTTAAAGAGTACATGACTAAATAACAAATGAAACAATGATGAGTTATTCAAACAATGTCTGAGTCACTTACTGTTTCTCGGCCTTCTCCCGGTCATCCAGGAAAAACAGCGCGGTGGCCAGGAAGAACATGCCCCCCAGGACGATGATGAAGGGGCAGAGCATGAGGGCATAGCCCAGACTGAGGAACCTCCAGAGGGCTGACGTAGCGTAGCTCTCCTGAAGGGCGTCTGAGATCTGCATGCAACAAACACACACGACAAACAAAGGAAGAGGAGAGAGATTTATTAGAGATGGTCTCATAACCACACCATGAGATATGCCTTCAATACAGCCTACACTGCATCAGGCATGTGTCACCTCTCCAGGAAAAGGACCCCCCCCCCCCCCCCCATGATATATCATAGCTTCAACTAGCATCAAGGCTCCTAGTTAGTGTAAGTATCCATCAGTGAACGAGCCAGGCCAAAGGACCATGATTCACTTATATGGCTTATTTAATTCAAAGATGATTACATGTGGTAGGAACCCAAAAGGAAAGAGTTTCATGTTCAGAATCTGTTTCTCTGATACTTTCAGGAGACATCAGAGGAGGCTGCAAGTCAAGCTGTCAATCATTACAAACATTTGTTTGTGAACAAGTATCAAAGGAAACTTTGAATCTGTCTCGAGAGGGTAAATTAGAATATTTATAGATTTTTTCAATAAATCAACAGCAGTTCTCAGAATCTCCCGTCACGCTCTCACACAGCACACAAAGCCTTGCACACGCCCACTGGACGCTTCACCAGAGTCAGTTCTGCCTCTGTCATCATAGCAACAGATAAAAACCGACACTGCATGATGTAAGCCGCCTCGGTTCTCGGTTTTAAAGCGAGGCCGCATTTCCCCGCTCTTATCGCTTGCCCGAGGCTTGAGTAACACTGCCGCTCAGTCTGTCGTGAACAAACAACAGCTGGAGAACAGTGGGTGTGAAGTGACCATTTCTGCCTCCCCGTGTCGCTCATGAAGCAGCTCACAAACACACATACAGCACCGGACTGACAGTCGTGATGGAGAGGAGGCTGATGGTAGCTTTTAGCAGATTGTGAGGATGTATGAAGAAGGGGAACCAGAGGGGGCTTCTCCTCTGTGTGTGTGTGTGTGTGTGTGTGTGTGTGTGTGTGTGTGTGTGTGAGCCGCATAGGTCACTCTGGTAAGAGCACATTGATTATATGTTAGCGTCAGCAGAACGAGACCCGGAGAAATGCCGACAGGAGGATGTCGGAGGCATGTGTACAGTATGCGTTCATGTGTGTAAGAGCATGTGTGTGTTCATTGTGAGGAGAAAGATTAAAAAAAAAAAAAACCTCAGTGTGTGTGGCCGGGGCAGAGTCCTTTCACCAGGTACAGGAAATTGCCCGGCAACTTGCATACTTCAGCTTAGCTAAAAATACATACTGCTGCACGTCTAATTATCCAACTAGAAAGCATTTCTTGGTGAGATCGCTCAGAGATTGTTCCCGGCGTTCCCCTGCCACCCACTCTGCCTGCAGCCATGTAGGAGAAGTCCATTACGCGTTTCTCCAGGGATTCTAACGTGACAGCTGACAAGGTCTACGTGCTGTTGGACGGAGATCTTGGCTCCGTCTCAGGAGCGGTACAGATGTACTAAAACACTTCTCATTTCACCAAACAGTAAGTGCAATCTGTGCGGCATTTAAGGAACAATATCTGCGGGCGTTTGTTGAGTTTGGTGCATCGTCTGCTGTTCTGTTTGGGCGGCATGTCAAAATCCAAAATGAACCAAAAGGCACTGACTCATCGCTCACTTTCTCCTGTGGCTGCTTAGCAATCACCACCAGTCTGTTTTTCACCAGATTCTCCAGTTTTGCTCTCACACGGGATTGATGCCAGTCCACATGGGTGACTGTATATCTGCCTGAGCTGAAGTATGCGTCACGACACGTCCATCACACTGGCATGCTAAACCTCAGCGCAGGAACCGAGGCAGTGAGCGATGACGCACTTGGAGCTCTCTGGGGCTGACCGACCCCCGGACAGTCAGAGTCATGACCCCCGAGGCTGCTGGACGGAGAACCTGACTGACTGACTGGCTCGCTGAGGGGACATGTCTGGGTGACTCTTGGGGGTGTGTGTGTGTGTGTGTGTGTGTGTGTGTGTGTGTGTGTGTGTGTGTGTGAAGGCCGCAATATTCTGACAATTTAGAACTTCCTGGAAAACTGGAAAGCCTCCCTCTTCCTCAATCATATAAAAACTCACCTGATAACAACTTTTATTAATATTTTTTTGACCTAGATGTTGAACTGTTACGGTGATGATACAGGATAATAAGGAGTGGTGGAAAATATTCACATCAGTTGAATAAAATAGACCCAGGCTGAGTCACAGCGTTTCAAAGTTCGGTCTAAATGTGTCAATCGGAGGTTTGTACAATTCAAGATGACACTGAGGTTTTATTTGATCTGCAGGAAACAATACATCACAAGCTGTCGAGGCAGATTCTCTTTCCCAGGATTGTGAGTGTCTTTATGCCAGCTTTGTTCAGCCTTTTGAAGAGCTCGTCTGAACTGGGAAGTAACTTACAGCTCCTTTTATCCGCGCTGACAATAGTTGAACATTTCCATTTACGGAGGAAACAAAAGAACAACAAGACACTTTTAATGCTACTGTGTCTCCTGCCAGCCTGTCAGGCCCTGACAGGATCTGTTTGATTCACTAATCAAAGAGTTACACTTCACCTTTGTGAACATGACCCGGGCTGTGAGCCAGAGGTTCGACTGTGAGACGCAATGTAAACACACAACACTAAGGGAGACTATTCTCCAACAGATTTAGACTGGTATAAAACGTGAAGATCCGGCCTCCTTGATGCTATATGTTTGGGCGTATGTGTGCAGTGTGGGTGGTGAGGGGACTGTCCAATAGAGAGGGCGAGCGACTGTGACCTTGAGAGCATCTCTTAAAGGACCCTCTTTCGCCTCCCTGACCAATCAAAAACAGTAACGCCAGCCCCTCTTTGTGACCATGACTTTTACTAGAAAACGCCGCTGACAGCCTGAAGAGCAGTGGTGAAATCACACTTCAGTACACCAGCCCTCCTGAGACGTGTGCTAAAAGCTCCTCTTGTTCCTAACTTTGCACCGGCCCACTTAAAGCAAGAGCTGAGCCCGGTGTCTGAAAACATCCTGCGTATGAATGGGGTGCTTACAGACTTGCAGACAGCACAACGTTAAATATATCCCCCCCTCAAACACACACCAAACACACAACAGAACTGCCTCGTGGAGAGTCTTACCAGGCCTATCAGGTACGGACTCCCTGCGTCACCCAGCAGATGAGAGGTGAAGCTCTGAAAGGCTACCGCAGTCGCTCTCCTCGTCGGGATGACGACAAACTGCAAAGAGAAAAACAGAGGGAGAAAAATACATGAGAGGATGTAAGATGATGAAGAGGCAGAGCAACAAGTTTCACTCAGCATGTCTATAAACCGCTCAGCCCTGCTCAGAACAGACTGTTTCTGTGTCTGTAGCTTTAAATGCAAAAGAACTGTATCTGACCACGCCCCCTCTCTGGAAGGGTGTGGTTGCCTCAGGCTTTCTCACTCCATGTCCTATTGTTTACGGTGAGAAGGCAGACTCAGAGGGCAGAACAAACACCTAGCTGTGGGAGTGACACCCACCTGGGGGAGGGGTTACTGCCCTTTGTGATGTCATTAAGGGAAAATCTCCGAACGGCCTGTTTGAGCACACATTTTCTGAAAAGTGGAGCAGGCAAAAGACGGAGAGGATGGACTTTTCTCATCATTGGGGGGTTTGTAGACAGACTAGAGACACATTAGTGTTAGAGAAACATGGTGAAGTGGATTTTACATTATGTGTGACCTTTAACAATCTAATTGGCCAACTAATTAATTAGCCATGAGCGTAGCCTGCATAGCTTTCATAACTTAGCATTTACCAACTCTTCGCTCCACTCTAGCTCCGCCCCCTTGTACAAACAGTATTTGGTAAAAGAAAACCTTAAAAAGGGAAAGAACCATTGGGCTGCTGAGGCAGTTGACAAACCACTCGCTGACGTCAAGGTGGCTACATTCATTATTTATACAGTATATGATAAATCCATCTTTAATTAGACCTCTGTCTAATTAGATGACCAACTTCTGCTATAGTTAATTGCAGGAATTTCCAGCTACCCAGCAGATAAATATAGGTCTCACTACTTACCATTAAAATGTCTGCTGTTATGGCCCAGTTCAGGAAAAGCAGCGTCTCTCCTATGAAGATGCAGACCTAAAAAAAGAAGTAGATAAAAACAAAACGATTTAGTGGCTCTAATTAAGATCTGCCCTTTTTTTCTCTGCACAAAAGACTGCTAAACAGACATGGAGCCAAAAGAGGAGGACGCAGATATTGCTGCAGTGTGTGGGAATCCACGGCTGAATAAAAGTGCTTTGGCTGCTGTGGTTTAAAAACATGTCATTATGCTGTGGCCCGATTATACACAGAGGTGCAGGCTTTCATTTTGGTTCCATTGAGCTGAAAACAGCACGGCATGATAAGGGCTGTTTATTCTCGTTCAAGCTGTATATTCAGTGGGGAAACATTTTGAACACTTCCTAAGTTTAGATGCAGCTGCAACATTTGAATTTATGTCCTACTCCTGCATGGGTGGAACAGAAAATGTAAACTTGAAATACCACAGTGGAGTAGACAGCGTACTGCATGCTGGCTTCTGTATAAAAGCAGCTGCAGCTGGTGTTGCTTTTTGGCTACTTTCTTAAAAAAACAACCCCGGAGGGATTTGGTTGCAGTGGATTCTACTGTATCTGTATCGGCTGGTTTGGTCTGGCACGGTTTAACACGACGGGTTTGATGTGTGTTTCCTGCCAGGGGAATCACCCTTCTGCCGGCGTGTCAAACCTGCAGTACAGCACGGACAGCTTCAAAAGGAGTCTGACGGCGAGGGATGTAGACAGTTCTGCTGCGAGAGCTGCAAACCAGACACCGTGACCGACATGTTGAAGAGAGAAGCCTGACCCGCTCCTCAGATTAGCTGTGTCGACGAGACAACAGCTGCGAGGGGTCAAGACGGCCTCCGCAGAGCAACAGCGACCGTTACCGCCGCGTCACGCCTTATAATGATACACATCTGTCAGCGCTTTGCCATGAAACCCGAGTCCATCTCTTACAACTGCTGCTGTGCTGAACACTGAATTAACACTGTACAGTAGAGAAGTCTGAGAAGATGTGTACAGTTAGAGTACAAAGCTCTTCTTCAGGTGATAAATGATCATTTACAATACAATGTGATTGTGATGGATTAAAAACTTCTTGCCACATTTGTGCAAGTGTGCGGGCATATCTCCTTCCACAGTTTGATTGAAGAAACTAATGTTGACATGCAATATAGAAATATAGCTTCAGTTATTTTAACGCTCGCTGGTATTGATAGCATTGTTTTATTGTAAGCGTTTCTGAATCATCGTGTTTTTACCTTTGCATCTGGTCAAAGTGTCTTGGAAACCTCTTTGAACAAACGATGGAAAATGGAGGCTATGAGAACCTTTCAGAAGGTGAATCAGACCCTCTATTCAAACCTTTTTTTTCACACAGGTGTCTGTGATTAAACTTGAGTAAAGAGTGTCTCTACTCCCGCCGCCTCTGTCACGCAGCACTCGTCTCAAATCGAGTCGGACAGATCTGTAACGCTGTAATTAATATGGATACTTGTGAGGCTCTGCTCTAATTGGCTGAGTCACGCCCGTGTCAAACATGTGATAAATGTGTGCCCTTTGACCTCATCAGAGTTCATATTTGGATTCATTAAATCAAAATCACCTCCGGGGTGAGTAATTATGTGTGATTTAGGAAATACTTTGTGTAGTCGCTGTTAGAAACTATAGCGGGGCGTGTTAGTGACAAGTAGTTAAGAAGATAATAATCAGTGTTTCATTAAGTCTGTGGAGCTGCTCAGTTATCAAGGTCATTCATAGATGATCCAAAGGTCACTGGACTTGGTTGAAGATGTTGGAGATGCCCCCCCCCATCATCTTCTTCCATTAGTCTGACTGCCTTTGGATCAAGCTTTTTCACTTCTTAGTCCAGGAGCTGGTGTTTGCTGGATATCGTGGTTTTATAAAAGCATTCACATCATGTTGTTTAACATCCTGAGAACGAGGCCAGACGAGCCAAAAACCAGCCAAGGTCACACATTCGGGACACGGGAGCCAGTTTGTTATTTTCCATTTCACGCATGGGAAATATTTCCCAATCCTTCTCAGCTTTCCAGCTTCATTAGTTGTTCCGAGTGCGTTGCTATTCCTTTGTGTCTGATAAGAATGATATGTTTGCCGGGTGAGTCTGGCAGTGCAGACGGCATTGTTTCAGGGCAGCGCTTGTTAAGTTGCACCCTTTCCTGCATGAGGAAATTAGGCAGCGAAGATCTCTGCAGATTTGCCTGTGAGTCTTAACTTTTGGCCGAAGGAGGTTTTAACCTCTTTCACCTGCAGCAGCTCCCGAGGCGTCTCCATCATGTAAGCTGCATTTAAAATGTTTCATTATGAGGACAAACACCGACTCGCTGCCTCAGGCCTGAGTCGTCTTTATTCATGATGAGCTTCATCTAAACCTGCTCTTGTTAGAGTGGTTACCAGACTTTCCTTTCTGATTCTCTCTTCCTGAGGCTAATCCGTAATTAACATGCTGACATGCCCCCTTTGAGCGGGACATTTTTGATTCGGGACATGTTCATTTGGAGACGTAGGGAAGCTAGAGCGCTGCTGAAGTCGCCTTCCTGTGCGGCAGACAAAACATCAAAACACAAGAGAATAACTGGAAGTGACTCTTACATAAGCTCCCACGATGCTCTTCTTGGCCACCACGAAGATGAGCAGATGAAGATGGCCGAGCCGAGCATGCTGACAGCGCACACCAGCGGGTCGGCTCGCTCGGTCTTCTGCCGGCAAAACCGTGTGGTGGCAGCTCCGATGACCACGCCCAACAGACCCGTGACACAGGTGATCGCACCGAAGATTAAGCTAGACGGAAGAGCAGAGAAAAGAGGGAACAAGTGTTACTGGATCTCCCAATTTAAATAAATTTGACCTTTCAGATTGTTCCAAAAAGGGGTAGGAGTCTTATCTTATCCTAGAACATTTGTCACCTGTTGTTATGACAATTTTATTTTTTTATCCAGTGGACATGTTACTTTACTGTGCCTCACATATCACTTCTTTGAATCATTTGTTACGCATTTCTTTAGAATTCCTCTTACAACAACATCACAACAAAAGCTACATTAAACTGAGATCTTCATGCCTCGTTTTCATTTAGGTATGTGACTGGTGTCCACAGATCTGTAAAAATACAGGTGATGCCTCCTAGTGTCCAATGCAAGGAAGTACATGCCTTTATGAATGGATAGAAACCTGAAGGAAGCTACCTGAAGCCAAGGGGGAGGGGCTTATTTTGTCTGTTTTAAACAAACTGATGAAGAGGACGACTGAGCATATTAAAACGGACAAATCTGATTGTATTTAATGTCAAACTTCACCGTATTTTAGCAGAGTCACAATGAGCTAAAACTGAATAAACAAGTTATTTTTAACAACAAAAATTTGCTTTACGATTAACATCGGCAGCGGAATTGAAAGAAATAGCATTTTGGCTAGTTAGCAGCCTGTTAGCTGAACTAGCACGGTCTCTCCAAAATTCACCGCAAAAGTAAAAAAAAAAAAATTAAAGTAGTCGAGGCAAACTCTGGACCAAAATATTACAGAGGGGAGGAGTTTTGCAGGCACATTGGATATCAGGGAGATTTCCACAGAAATGAAGTACTTCTCGTTGATTTGCCTCCGTACATTTACATTAATAGAAACTAGGTGTAAGTCTGATTAAAACATTTTTGCATGGAAACATTTAGCAGTAGCCATCCCAAGCCATGTTCAATGTAAAGCTTTCTTAGTTTCTCAAAGAATTCTGGGAATTTATTTTCCTTAGTACTTGAAGTTTCCATCTAAAAAGTCTCCTTTTGAAGGGGGATTTGGTGGGCTTATGGACCAGAACCTCTTTATCCCTGCAAGACATGCAAACACCTTTTACCCTACATGGTAGCATGTGGTAGGTCAAGAGGTTAACGGGCTGAAATTGGGATTCGTCCAAAACATACAAAGTTCCTTGCATGTTTTCAGACCATGTAGCAGGTTGATAAAGCTGCAGCTGGGTTATGCACATATAAAAATGATGTGTCTTGTGATGATAAGGATCTTTAACACAAACTGGATTCTTGTTTCAGATAACCAACTCAAACTGAAGCTGCAGAGACCTCCCATCCTGCACTCTGTGTTCAGTCATTCCCCCCTCACCTGTCAGTGCTGCTGCAGATCTCTTTGGTGCAGGCCTCGGCTGTCTTCTGCACCACCTGGGCCCGAACCAGGTACAGAGGAATCCACATGCCAAACGCCCCCGTGGCAAAAGACACCGCTGCCGACGCCAGGGAGGAGAACACGTAGCTCCGACTAAAACAAGACATAGAAAATCATACTTGATTCTCAGGGCTCACAAATGAAGAGAAATAAGATTCTGTTTTCGGTTCTGAAATTTCAAACATCTTCATCCTCTGAATCTTAAATCTGGTAAAGACAGATGATATGGAGTTTGACAAAAGGATTAAAGCATCAGCTCAGAGGTGAGAAACGAGACTCTGGAGCTCAATGGGAGGTACACTGATATACTGTATGCAGAGAAGGCTGACAGTTTTATGTGACGGACAAAAATAACACACTATTTTACGCTCTTCATGTTGCCATTGGTGGTGAATGTGGCAGACTGTGTACAGCTCAGCGTCACAGGGGGAGGCTCATACGTGTTTGCTCTCCTGAAATAGTCCCCCATAAACCTGCATGGCTACATTAAAGTGACTCTGTCATAGTTTATAACTTTAAAAAAGAGAGACATGTAGCCCACAGGTCGTATTAGAACAAGGCTCCACAGTGTCAAAGCTCCCTTCACAGTTCAGCAGAGCTCACTGTGTCTGCTGTTGACATTTCAATGCCTCTAATTGATACCATTGAAAGATCCAATCAATCTTTAGTTGTGTAGCAGCAATTCATAACAAAAGACAAGAGCAGGTCTAGACCGGATTCTTTGATGTTCATGCCGTGTTTAATCTAACAACATATTTGTCTTGTCAGTTTTTTAATTCAGCCTTTAACTTCTTTTCAAGCTTTTTTAATAAATGTGTGGAAAGGTAGTTTATTTGCATGGACCGATGTCTGCTCTAGTACCTTCATCATAGTCTGGATCATTTATTTTAAAGGGGACATACTATGAAAATCCACTGGTACAGTGTGTTTGAACATATATTTGAGTAACCAGTGTCTACCGAGCCACAAAATATGAAATAAACCCATCCAGTCCTTTGTTTGTGGTCTGAATAAGTCTTACAACACAGAGAAAAATGCTCCGTTTCAAATTTTCTCTCACACACACCAAAACGGAGCGTTCTGAGAGAGCTGGTTTATACAGGGTCACAAACCTCCTCTGGTACTTGATTCATGTTATAGTTTGACCAAAGCACAGCACAGATGTTTCATTTAGGACTTCAGGGGACTGTTTGAAAAGGTGGAGAAGGGGGATAATATGTCCTTTTTAAGTATTTACATTTTTTATTTTAGTATTCATATTGAAAAACGATTCTTTTATCTTTAAAAGTTTGTGTTTTAAGTCTTGCCAATCTTTTAAAGCTCATATGAGCGACTTTCAGTTTATGTTGATTTTGGCGCCCCCTGTGAACGAAGCATGGCCCCTTATAAATCTTTTTCCTTTACATTCTTTTGTTTCTAATAACTGACGCTGCAGCATGCTCTTAATGATCTGCTGGGAATAAAAGTGATGATTTTGTGGACGTACATCCCGTCCCTGAACTATCAATCAATCTGCCAGTGTATTCCTTGCAGCTTACTTCTTGGCGAGCGCCTTCATGTCACAGCACCAGGAGGTGCGGTGCTTGATGCGTCCTCCCATCTGGTCGGCGCTGCCTCTCTTGGGCTCCGGCACGAAGACCAGGATCAGAGTCCCAGCAGTGATCCCTAACACTGGGGACACCTGTGTGAAAAAAGAAAAGACCTGTGAGACCTCGGATTGTGCTAAGACATCACACTGACATGATGGTCAGAGTGGGCGGGGCTTGTAGCAGGGGCAGACATGAGAGTGGGGACAAAGAACAGAGTGTTTACAATCTGAAAGGACGAGCAGTGACTGTGTTTGCCGATACGCCTGACATCCTATACAAGCCCTCTGCAGCTCAGGACATTCCCTCTGCTTACTCTGCTGGCACACTGAGTGTGTGTGTGTGTGTGTGTGTGTGTGTGTGTGTGTGTGTGTGTGTGTGTGTGTATATATGTGTGTGTGTGTGTTTGTGTGTAAAAGCATTCAGGACTCTGAAAGAGCTTTTGGCCGCTTTGTGAGCACCAAGGTGAAACCCTCAAAGGTGCTCATCTGCTATTATGTTCACCATCATCTTTTATAGGTTGTGAGAGAGCCTGTCCCTGCATGTGTGTGTGTGTGTGTGTGTGCAGGGGAGAAACAAAGACACAAAACATGCTGGGATGTGTGGGAGAGGACTTCTCTGACTGATACAAATGCACACAGAAGCAAAAACCAATTTCATCTGTCAGGGGAAATTCATGATATCATGTTTCCTAGCTCATTTATATGCAAACGTATCGCAGAAATGTGTGTGTGTCCTCAGGTTTTTTTTATTGAGGGAGTAATTTTGCAAAATGATGTGGCTCATAACGCGGCTCATAATGTGGCTCAACATAATGTTTATGGTCCCATCAGTGTGAGGATTACACTGATTATTTCCTCTCCCATATTGTGTCTCTCTTCTGCTTTTGTCGAGCGACTTTGTTTCATCAGCGTCCTCAGCGAAAGTCTTCTAAATTGCTTTTCACGCAGGATACAAAGCTCAGACTTCAAGGATATAATCCAATTTTTTTTTTCACTCAAGTCTGCACATGATAATTCAAAGAGACACCAGGAACCTGTGACCTCTGACCCTGACGCTCTCAGGGCACGTTAAGACACTTCCTGTATGGAAGCTTTGCAATCAAACGATTTAGCTAATGCCCTCTGCTGCTCCTCATTTCTCCCCCTCCTCCTCTGTTCCTTCTTATCGTCCACTTTTTTTTCGTCCACTTTTTTTTGCCAAACAATGAAGGTGGCTGGAACATGTTGGGCGAAAACAAACGGAAGCGCTGTCGTGTTTTTTTCCTCAGAGCAGGATACTGCAGCACAGACCCTGTTTCATGTCTGAGTACTTGTTTTCCTCCACATGCCACAACGGTGATTAATTGGCTTTGAGATTGTTTTATTGGAATGTCATTGTGGCTGCTGTGGAAAAAAAAAAAAAAAAACACGCCCCGCTCTTTGTGTGTTTTTAACGTTCCATCAAGACAAGAAGAAATGGACGTCCTGTTTTCCTGTTTCCTCAAACCTGCAGAGAGCTGTCATATCCAGGAATCTCCTCCAGCGGGACACGCTGAGGGAATGTTTAATGTCGACCTTTAAATGCCGGCAGGTTCCTCAGGTCATCATTTGTTTTTTAGGGATTTTAAAAGCTGACCCTGAAGGCAGCAGGGAGTCCTGCAAGAGCTTTTCATTGGTCCTCCCTCTCTCTCTCTCTTAGAGCTGGTATGTCTTATAGAGCTGTTCACTGTCGACTGCTTTGTCTGAGGACTTCCAGTGAAAAGACAGCTATGACAACAGTGATGTATACTCCTGATTTAACATGTGTAGCTGCTCCTGAGCAGGCAGTAAACATGCTAATCCAGAACCATTAAGCAGATACATGAAAATAGACTTTATTAAAGGAGATCATCTCGGTTCACCTTGGGGCATTTTGTGAGCCAGTACTTGGAAACAAATGACTTAACTTAAGCTTATTTTAAGACCCAGCGAGGCGGTGATAGTTTCTATCAGGCTGCCTCCCAATACTGCTAGATTTCATGAAAAAAGGCTACTAACAGCACGAGACGCGAGCAAGCGTCAGCGACAAAATATGTTGTTTCTATTGTTTCCTATTGGAGTAAACTCAGCAGTTAGCTTGTTGTACAAAGTGGAGGTAGTGGTGCATAAATAATATCCACATCCATGATTGAGATGTTGAGCTTTGACTCGTATAGGGTCACCGCGAGCCGTTGTGATCCTACAAAATAAAAGCACCACATGTCATACTGTTTGCAAGCGGAAACTAAAATTCACATTGCAAAGAATGAAATATTTAACAGATGCAACGTGGACAGCGCTTGTTAGGTTGTCCTGATTCTTTTTGGGTAGCAGGAAGGTCTTGCAGCCCTCCAAGTGACTTTCAGACCCCAAACAGGAGTGCATGGTGCATGAACATTTCCAGAATTAACTTATACAATGTTACATGACGCATGGCTCCAGGTTCCAGAGTAGCCCATATCATCAAAAGTAATCCTGCAGCAGTTTTAAGATCTGTTAGAAGATTTCAGTTTACTGCAACTCAAATAACAACTTCATGACAAGAAGTTCACAAAAAATTGCTGTCGATGATCTACACAAACTACATTTGAAGTCATATGCACAAAGCTTGAAAAATGGGACGTACACGTCACCTCCGACTCCTACTTCTTAAAGATTTCAACCACTGTCCCAGAGTTATTCCAAACTAGAGGTAGGGTCATCAGGATGTGGCCTTAGAGCCGTCTCTGGTTCACATTCATGATTCTACAGATGATTTTCTCCTTAAATACTTCTCAGGGCTCAGACGTCATAACCTCCCCACTTTCCATTGTTCTCATTGTTGAAAAAAAGACAGTGTTATTGTTGCAGCTGAAATGGTTAGCTGGTGGTTATTTCTCTGCGGCTGGTCCTGGACTCGTTGTTTGTCTGACATAATCACACATTGGGTCGACCTCATCACAATCCACAGCGCAGTTACAACCCCTTACAGCACCCTAGACATGTATTTAGTTTTGGGCACAGAGCGAATGTGTCTCCTTTGGTTGTTTTATTTAGTTCCAGCACCGACAAAAGAAGCTTTTCACAGGTTGAGGAACTACAGGCACCTTGTTTTTTGTCACCGAGGACACCATTGATCCCGCTTCCCCCAGAGCTGACCTCTGTGTTTAAAGTGTAATGAAAGATAAATGTGTTTACAGCCACTGAGGAGGAAGCGACTGATATCAGCCTTTTCAATAGAAATCCACTTTCCTCTCTGCAGAGTCATCGCATCAGAACTTTCCTTCTACGACATGCAGATATGTTTTTTCTGCTTAACCGATATCAGAGGATGTGGAGTAAGCTGGATGTGAAAGGTTTTAGAAAGATTATTTTAAGAAAGGTTTTTTTTTTTTTTGCAGGAGACTAGAGGCAGATGCTCATTCTGATGCGGGGAGTTGTCCAGCCCTTTCCCTCTCTGCACGCTGTGTCACTTTCTGACAGCGTCGTGACCGGTGAACACCTGGTCATCCTTGTGTGTCCTCCGGGTGCGTCTGCCACCACTGACCCCACACACCCTTGTGCCATAATGAAAATAAATTGTCAAGCTGAATTTTAAAATGTATAAATTCATAACTTCATGACGTGAGTAAGGGACAATTCCCTCAACTCATGATACGATTCTGTCTCAATTTATTTTACAAAATGAGACTGAAGACAAATGATGAGTGGAAAAGATTCCTTTAGGGGATGCTAACATGCTTGTCAGTGTGTTTTTTTCTCTCAACAATGGGAGGAGATTGGAGCTTCTCATTGTGGTGTGGATTAAATGCTTCATCATGTTGGTTGTGCTATTTGTGTAGTTCCCTGTCTTCTTCAATTTATTTGCTCACAGTTTTTGTCTGTTATCTTCTCTCCTCTTTCATTTTCTGTTTTGGGGAAGCCAAAATGCTTCCACACCTTCAATTTAAATGTTATTGAGATTCATTTTTCAGAGTGCGAATGTCAATCTTGACTCCTTTGAATCGATTTATATCGATTTTACGATTCAATGTTTACATCCCTAACGTGAGTTGAGTTGAAGTTCTAACGCTAGCTAACATGTTATTCATTGAAATACGATCATTTGATTCTCACAGTTTTCTTTTCACATTGTCACTTAAGTTGCTCATTATTTAAAAAATGACAATTGACTGACACCTTACATTATAACAACTTAAACCTGGATCACAACAAACTCTCCTCCCAGAGTGTGACATCAGAGGAAAGTAGCCTCTGTGGATATATTTTAAACTGAGCTCTGCATGAGGGGTTCTGCATCTGTCTCTGTGCATGTTTGTGTGTAAATGATGATGGTGCCCTTACCCTCAGCGCCCAGTGCCAGTCTCCTGCAGCCACCTTGGCGCTGGAGCCCAGGATGTAGCCCAAGCCGCTGCAGAAAGACAGAAACACAACACACCATCACATACATTTCTCTGACTCTGCCGCCCATCAGTCTGTGTTATATTTCAGTCTATGAGTCATTGTCCTGGGTTAGCTGAGTCTGTCATCTCACGCCTACAGTACACACATCCTGCTTGTAGTTTTGTTTAAGCCGTGTCGAGTGTTCGGGTGCTTGACACGGAGAGTTTGTGACAGTGGAACTGATCAAAGCACCGGTAGCGACTTGGCTAGCTGGTCTATTTGTGGACGTGTGATTTGTGCATGCAGTCACAAAGTGCAGGTGCAAAGTCGCCGCCCACGAGCGACCACAGAGCCGTGCTCACATTGTTGTCTTAGCCGTGGGCCGTTTGTTGTCCCAGTTCGATTGAATTTCACCACATTTTCTCTGGAGTTTAAGGGTGTTTCTGTGCGCCAGGAGAGGGAAGTGCTTTGAGGGAAATGTTGCTAGATCGCATCAGATCAGATACAGAGGACCGCTATGCTGTGATAAGCGCTGCAAGATAAACATCAGCATTTAAAGGACAAAGAGGATTAAAACAGTGGAGATATGACAGTATGAGCAGCAAAGGAGTGATATGATCAAATTCAAGCACCGTAATGACAAAGTTAATGCAAAGCTTTTTAGATGTCTCTGTAAACATTGAGACTGGACTGCCAAGTACATTTACACATACAAGGAATTTGTCTTGGCGTATTGGTGCTAAACAATCAACAATGCAAGAATGACAAATGTTTGCTTGGGAAGATTTTCTACGATTAATTCTACTCTCTTACATGATTACAAATGTTTTCAAGGCTTTTTAACCCGTTATTGTAGAGACAGGGCCGTGCACAGAGTCGGAAAGCAGGGAAAGAGAGAGCGAGGAATGACATGCGAGAAAGGAGCCACAAGTAAACATATTTTTGGACGATTTTTCTCCTTGGACACAACGGCTGACGAGAGACAGGAAACATTGGGAGGAGAGAGAGGGGGGATGACATGAAGCAAAGGGCTGGGGCGGAGGTTGCATTTGAAGCTACGGCCGCTGTAACGTGGACTATAGCCTCCAATAGATTGATAATCAGCGGCTTCTTATCAGGACTGGATGCTGAAGGGCCAAAACATGCTTAACTGGCTTTACACAGTAAAACTCACATTTCTGCCCACTCAGAGAGCGGGGGGGGGGGGCAGTCTACACTCCATGATTAGTTCTCCAAAAATAACAGCCCAGTATAAACGGCCTCAGACAGCAGATGATATTTCCAGTGAGTGACTAATCTTATCAGAGTCCACACAGAGAGTGTTTGGAAAGTTCAGCACCAACTCTAAAACACGGGCATGAAAAGGCCCGTTTGCATCAAAGACACAAACACATAAACCGGAGGGGGGCACGTTTTTTTTTTTTTTTAAAGAATCATGGGGGTGAGGGAGCAGGGAGCATTTCCTGAGACTCTGTTCTGATTCCTGAGGTCATTTCCTGGAAACGGTCATAACAACCTCCGAAAACAAGTGGGAGACTGGAAAAGGATGTTTAGCGGCGCTCTACCGAAGCCCACTCTTTCACCTTGTATTGTGTGTGTTGCCTGGCAGTTTAGGGTGACCCAAACATTTTTGGCTTGCGATAACAAAGCCACTCAGAGGGCAATTTAGTTTGTTTCCTTTGCTTATTTGCACAAACTGTCTCTAATTTTCCATTTAAAAAACATATTATTAGCTTCATAACCATTCATCTGTGTGGTTTGCTCTGCAACAATCATTTTTAACGACATGTTTTACATAATTTAAGTGTCGGAGAGCCTGCAGCCCATTGCTCGGAGTGTGATTCTGCATGCAGCAGCTGGAAAACGTTGCAGCGTGCAGCAGCTCGGGCTCATGCTGTGAAACCCCGGATAGAACGATAAACCTCAAGTGGCTCCTGTGCCCCCTCCACCAGCACATTCATCTTTTATTACTCTTTGTTTGTTTTCTCCCTGTGGCCCTTTTTCTGATTGAATGAACTGAAAAGACTGGAGATTTGAGCTTAATAATACCTCCTACTCTCCTACTCTCACACGCTGCAACGCCACATCTCCAAACAGCCTCCCTCTTTTTCTCCTTTAAGCTCCGCACACTCTCACACAGCCAATAGTTAAGTTCTGCCTTTCTTTCTGCAGAGGCCCTGAGCTCTTTGTGTGGCTGCTGATGCTGCAGAAAACAGAGAGCACGATAGGAGCGAGTCTGACCTTCTCTATGTGAGGAACATTTCAATTATCTGTGCTAATTTTCCTGATTCCACTGCACCTTTAAATCTAACACTCGACGAGCCGGCTGGACTGGAAGAAATGATTCACAGATTTCAAATAAGACCCTAAAGACAGTGTGATAAATATAGACAGTAGTCTGTTCTAATAGAACAGGATGTGTCTGGCTCTTACCTTCCCAGGGGGATGGCCAGGTAGAAAACAGAGAGCATCATGGTACGGCTGTTGTTGGTGAACAAGTCTCCGATGATGGTGGGAGAGATGGAGGAGTAGCTGGACTCTCCGATACCCACGAGGCCCCTGGAGAGCACGAACAGCCAGTAATACTGCAGGGAAAGAAAAGACAGACGAGGTTAGTTATCCAGTTCTGCAGGAAAGTTTCAGTCAGACCTTACAGATATTTGTCACGGTCAGAGGTCGTCTTCCTGAAAGTGGAAAAACTGTAAAAGTCTACCGATAGCCTTGAGATACTTCCTCTGCAGCAGCTCTGTAAAAATCTGTTTGGTCATTTCAAACGTTTTGTGTTTGAGATGTGCTGAAATGTACAGATAACGTTTCTTCGTATAATCATTTTATACTCATGACAACAAGTTCAACAGTTTATGATACAAATACTAGATTTCAGCCCCTGAACTTCACAGACTCAGTTATGAGTATCAGTCTAGTCAGGTTTAAGGTAAATATAGCACATTTGAGAGTCAGGTGCAGTTTCAGATTCCTCTATTTGTCTGATAATCTGAGGCACAGGACTGGAAATTATAAAACAACAAGTCACTGATAACATCCCTTGTTTGTGGTGACTACTCAGAAGCTCAGTCCGAGGAAGATTTCGAGTTTCAGCTCTGATTTTTGTTGCACAAGGTCTAAAAAAGTCTGGAGGAGGAAATCTTTGATCGACCAAAAGATTTATGACTAATGTATTCAGTAGTGAGAGAGCATTTCATCATCAACATTTAAATCATCCATAGCCAATAATCTTCAATCAGATGTAATAGTATCTGATAGATAAAGAAGACCAAAGGCTCTAATAGGAGCGTGCACGCTGGCAGGGGGGCTCCTGTGTGGGCAGCTGGATTGTTAACTGTTTCCATGGCAACTACTACTCACTGGATATGAACTCACATGTCAGCTTGTGAGGCTGCAGAGAAATCTGCTTCTTCCCCTCACAGTGGAATGATACAACGGGACAAAAGATGGAAGTAGAAGTTGCACGTAGAGACAGTCGTACAAAAAAAAAACAGACAGTTTGTTAGCTTTTCTTCTGTGGAGATTTCTCCGCAAAATTTGATTTGTTTTCGCAGCAGGCCCTGACGATGTGAGTCTGTGGTGTGTGTGTGGGTGTGTGTGTGTGTGTGTGTGTGTGTGTGTGTGTGTGAGAGTGCGAGAAGGTTACACTCTGTGTGGGGTTTGTCAGCCGTGTGCAGAGATTAATGAAGGTGCAGTAAGAAGTGGAGGCAGAGCTAACGCTGTGATCCCTGCACTGACCCGAGCCCTCTGCTGTCACTCTGGGCTTCATGCTGGTGATGGGACGTCATGTCATTAGGTCGTACACACAGCCATAAATCATTTGCTTGTACGCACACACCTCCCTGTAAGACGAGACTTGAGAGATGCATCCAAAAATAACGTCTCTGCTGTGGTATTTACCCATATCATTTTCAGTTATGTGTGTTTACAGTCAACTGTTCTTCTTCTTCTTCTTTTGTATTTATGAGCCGCTGTGTTTATGATTTATCACCTCAGCGCGTTACTGCTGCTGTGTTTTTTTTCCAACATTGTTCCCACTGATTTACAGTCAGTCTATTTTCTCATTTTCATGGCCGCGTCGTTTAGCGGCATCATGATGGCGGTTCCTTTTTGTTTGTGCGGTCTCAGTTTGTGTCATCGCCACTTGGAACTGAAATGCTAGCAGACATGACAAACAGCTAAAAGCATCAGCGCCACAAAAATGAGGTTTGTTGGTTGTAGAGGCAGATGGAAAGCATGTAAGGGAAAGAAGAGAGCGAGGAGGTTAAGGAAAATCTACTCCTCGAGGCTGCTTCAAACTTATATTCAAACATGACATGAAATCTACAGCCATGCTAGCAGCTCTATGAGGCTGCTACATAATCCACATAATATATTACATGTTGTATGAGCTGATGCCAGTGTAACTAACATACTAACTATGACCTGCTATAGGATGCACTGTTGAATTAGTTAAAATATAAATAATATGAACAGTTTTATTTTAGCCTGTTAGCATGCTAATATCAGCAAATTAGCATGCTAACTGATATGAGACAGGTTGAGGCAAATCTCCACCTGCGCACAGTATATTCTCGATATCGGGGGAAAAGAACTCCTCTACAAACGATCATAGGATGTCACAGCGTTGTCTCTGATTGGTGGAGCTTGCTGTTACCATGGCAATGTTTCCTGCCCCGCTGCGCTGTATGCAATAACCGTGTTATTATGCCGCCGTGAATGTTCTTTAACGCTGTTCTTGCGCCAAATCAAATGTACTAATGATATTAAACGCCAAATGATGCCACCTTAGCTATAAAAAGAGAAGTTTGGAAATCATAAGAAAGTGATAATTGACTGATGCAGAAGTGAGTGTTTTAGGCTACTTGACTTTATGCTTGTGTCCTATTTCTGTTACATTTGTTCTGAATTCGTTATGCGCTGCAAATCCTCCCAAAATGCCTCAGAGTGTCTTGCGGGTGTAATGATAGGACTCAGTTGTAAGTGGTCATTAACTTTTCATCACATGTCATGTCTCTTCTCTGTCTCAAGGCGACAGCAGCGTCTTGTGTCATTTGATTGGCACTTTCAGAGACATGACTTGAGGGCGGAGTTAAAGTTCTGGGCAGAAGACTGCGGCTGCCGAGGATCGCTCCTCATTTCTTCATCAGAAGCCAGGGGCATTTGTGGCATTTGTCAGAGTGGGAGGCGGCCTTTCTTCAGCTTAGCCATAAGCACCCTGAACGTGTTTCCTGCTTATGTTGCCATCTCGCCCCCTGGCTGATGAGTCTATAGGGCACTCAAGTCAAAGGACGCCCTCCTGAGACCATCAACATCTCCGCGCTGTCATTTCCATCTGGAGCTCAGGGCTGAAGATCCGTGGCAGTGAAGGGGCTTACTCACTGCAGAGACGACACTGTGGGACACCGCGACCCAGCTCTGCACACACGACATGTGCTGCATTAATTCAACTCCACAACCTCTAATGCCACATATCCCTGCCAGTCAAGCACCCTCAGACTGCCAGCTGTGAGATGTGTATTACTGTGTTGATTCTGATTGGTCAGTTTCAGCGCTGTAGGGTCTGCAAGGCCCCGTTCCACCTAGCGTATTTTCTGAGCTCCAGCGTCTTTTTTTTCGATTGTTCTCAATGAGTATAGAGCGTTTGCATCTAAAAGCGGCCGCCTGGAGTAAAAGCGCAGCGCCCAGCGTCTTTTTTCCAAGTGCTCTGGGGTTGTTAAAGCAGAAACAAAGAGTGTACCAAGACCCGTGCATCATCCCGTCAATGTTGCTTCCCTCCATAACAACCAGCCTGCCGTACTTCATCCCTTACTTCGACTGCATAAGAGGTCTGTCTACACCCACACATGCATATATAAGTATACAGTAAAGGGGCTTTTACTGTAATGTGATGGCTACTCTCTGCAGGATATCCCTCCCTCATATCACCCCCCCCCTCCAGAATAATGTTATTATTTAATGTGTCGGGTAACGCCCACCACACAGAGGGGCACTTCAGAAGATTTCCAGTTTTCAGGAGGCAGTGTAACGACACAGCCTTATCTACTAAAGCATTGTAATTGAGACAAGTCTGAAACATGGGCCTTCATTAGCTGATTGGCTGTTAGCCAGAGACAGAGAGAAAGCGAGACAGAGAGAGAGGGGGTGGGGGGTGGGGGAATAAAGAATGTGTACAAAGGCAAAGCGGGTGTTTAACTTAACAAGCGTATCATTTCATTCCAGCGGCTTTAACATGAAGCATATCCAGACCGTAACAGAATAATTACCTCGTCAGGGTATCGCGGCTAATAGAAAAGAAAACGACTCTCGTTCAGAGCACATGTGTGATGTGTTTTACCTCTCTGCTGATGAAGGAGCTCGACAGAGTCACAATGGACCAGAAGAAAATGCCACAGCTCAGGATGACCTTTCTGTTGAAGCGGTCGCCAAGGTAACCGAAGATGGGAGCTGCCACCATGAAGCTGCAGATGAAGACTGCGGAATGAAAAAAAAAAAGGAGGAGAATTTTATGAAGGATCTATACAGTGACAGAGTGTTCATGATGTAGACATTTTTTAGACAGTCTTCACAGCACGGACATTTCCTAGAGACGAGGTACTTTGAGAGGAACTCAGTGTGCTTCCACTGCTGGGACAAAGATCTATATAAAGGTCTGGATACTTTATTTAACCCCCCAGATGTTCTCTGCCCTCGGGGTACTACTTCTCCAAAGTACAAGGAGTTTGTGGCGAGCCCTCGCAGTGCTTGCAGAGTAAATGTGTGGCTTTTTTTCATTTATAGGCGACAACAGCAGCAGACTCAAACAGAACCTTTAATCCTAGGAGAAACTTTTCAGAGGACAACATGTTCCTCCGGCTCATGGTGCTCTGTGTTTCCACTGAAGACACTTAAGACCTGTTAAGTTCAGGACAATTATGTAGAGACCTTTGAGGGGTAAAGTTCCTGGTAAGTTCTTTTTCCTGGTGAAAAGATCCAAGGCCTTTAGGGAGATAATTGATCAATTTGTAGCCTCATCTGGTGCAAATACAAAAGGTTAGCTATTACAGGCTTGCAAACCTGCTCTAATAGTATCATAGATGCTCTAAAAATATGAAATCTTCAGACTACTTTTTCCAGTTTTCAGTGTAAATCATAAAAGTTGCAGATAACATAAACATATGGTTAAAATGTATTGTATCACTACAGTTAAATGAACCTGAAGCAGATGATTAAAATCAATAAATTAAACACCAGAACTCGAAACGGAGAGGACAGAGGTGGCTATAAATAATTCCTCTGTATTAATATCTTACACTCAGCTTTATGTCCCAGTAAAAGAAACAAGAGTACTTTAACATGTGTCATCCGTAATTGCCCCGGCACTGAGTGGACAAATAGGCCCTGGTCTCTGGGCTTTTAGTCAATATTTATGAGAAGGGGCCGACCCCAAACAGAGCTGAATTTTTAATGCCCTCGGTGGCGCGTTTTGTTTCTTTGCAGACGAGAAAGGGCAGAGATGTTACTCCTGACAGCGGTGAGGGGAGCTGGGGAGCAGACCGAAGTGTTTTGACAGATCATCAGCATAAACAAACAGCAGGAGGAGAGGAGAGGAGAGGAGAGGAGAGGAGATGAGAGTAGAGGAGATGAGAGGGGAGGAGAGGAGAGGAGAGGAAAGGAGGGGTAGAGGAGAGGAGAGGAGGGGTAGAGGAGAGGAGAGGAGAGGAGAGGAGAGATGAGAGGGGAGGAGAGGAGAGGAGAGGAGAGGAGAGGAGAGGAGAGAGAGAGGAGAGGGAGATGAGAGGGAGGAGAGGAGAGGAGAGGAGAGGAGAGGAGAGGGAGATGGGAGGGTAGGGAAGGGAAGGGGAGGGAAGAGGAGGGGAGGGGTGTTACATAAGACACAAACATCACAGTCCCATAGATGCCGAGGCCAGCCGGCTGGATGAGGGACAATAATCAGATTATGGCATCACTGTAGTTTTAAACGTTTCTATGACGTGGTAAAAGGAAAAATAAGGATTTAAAGAACTTGTGCAATCCTATTTTAGCAGAATAATTACCAAAAATAGACCCGAAGTAATCATGTTGCATGATTGTTTGGTTACTGTATGAGTCCTTCATGCACTGTCCTACATTCAAAAATAACACATCAGAGCATCTGTGTTTATCTGACGGTCAGAATTGCTGACGAATGCTGACGTGGCACTTTTTTTTTATACCATCTTTAATTTTGTCTTCTTTTGTTGTTGTTGTTCTTTTCTCATTTCTTTGATCGTGTTTGGCTCTAGAGTTCATTCTGTGCAGGGTTATCTTTCTGTTTTTAAAGTTATTTAGGAACAAATTAAAAAAAGGTATTCATGTCGAGGCAAAGAATCAACAAGCAGACGCAGCATGCACATTAAAAACACAGCAGATGGCATGTGAGTTCAGTGAGACTGCATCTTAAAAGCATGCTTCAATGAGGTATGGTGTTTCACTGTGCTGCTGCTGATTCATGCATTTTGTCATTTAATATATTCTGAAACACGGTGACAACTTTTTGCAAGCTGACAAAAAGAAACCAGACCTCGAACACAGTCTCCACTTCTGGAATAAATCATCGGTCCAAGTTGAAACAGTTTTAATATCCAAGAACCACACGCTCTGATCAAATGAGTATGAGTGCACTGTGCCTGTATGAGAACCACTCTCCCATTCCAGAAATGAAAATGTAATCTACAATCTAATTTAAAACTCATTTAAATCATCATTAACAAATGAATCAATTACAGTTAGTATTTTCACGGTGCTGCGATTACTTTATCTGCTCATTACACAGAATGAGTCTCTGGCTCCTCTTCTCTCTACTGTATGTTTCTCCCTCTCTGTCTCCATCTCCCTCGGTCCCCCCCCCTCTCTGTCCGCAGACTCCTTCAGCGTGCAGCGTTCAGGTGGCTGCGTGCTGTTGTGTGATGCTAAATGACTCTGATGACTCTCAGTGCAGGTCTGCCTCTCTAAAGAGCTTACAACCACAGCAACGACACACACACAAAAACACACACACACACACACACACAGAGGGGGGTGTTCTGCAGTGCATTCAGGAGATAAGACTTGGGAGAGGTCCACAATCACCTACCACCAGCTGCTTCCATGAGGGATTCAAAGCCAGAGATCATTACTGTCATTGTTTGGCACCTTGTCCAAAAAAGCACATCCTGACCCTCAGATCGTTAATGAGCCTGTTTAAGGTCATAAGCAGGACCACACACACTCACGACTCTGTGCTATTTCATATTATTCAGACACATTGCATAAGACTCATTATCACCTGTTAACAGTGTTAGCACAAGGGAACGAAGCCTGGCAGTGTGCGTCCATTTTTGATGCTTATTAACCTTTTCTTGCTTTCTGTGCAACAGAAGGGAAACTTACATTTATAACGGGTTGAAGCTGCTGTGGGGATTTTCTTATGAATGCCTATTAACCATCGAGAACTTGGAGTTGGCGAGAACCTGACGTCAGGCATCGGAGCAAAGCATGGCTGTTTCTACTGTGCTGTGATCGCCTTCGCTCACACCTACTGTACCTCGCAGCAGCAGCAGACATTAAAGCAGAACTATATGGAAACAATCAACCGTTTTGCTTATGGTAGTGTTGTAGTCAAGACCACACTAACCGAGACCAAGACATACCCGAGACCAGAGTGCGCCGAGATCAAGACAATAGTGAGACATTTAGGGATCGAGATCAAGACCTTCAAAAAGTGATCTCGAGGCCAAGACTGATTTTGAGTACTACGACACTAGCTGATGGTCTTGTTTGCATAGTTTGGTCATAAAGACATCAGAATGACTTTAGTCTGTATCATAATGAGCGACTCCTCACAGGAGCTTTAACATCCTGCATGTTTGTTGTGTTTTACAGTTTAAGTATCTTGAAAGGACAAAGCATTGCATCAGATAAAGACTTTCCACAGAAGCCGCTTTGAGCTCTCAGAATAATAAGATGATGCTCTAGCGTCACACTTGATTTACAGATAAGATGTTTTGTTTACTTGCCAAGAGGCAGCGGCGAGTGTTGACACCTTGTTGAAACAAACAGGCTCACCTCTCGACATAATCAGGGAGTGTTAGTTTCAATCCTTTTTATCTCATCACATCTTTTATGATCGGATTCCGACAACATGCTGAGCTTTTAAAGATTTAGATGTGCCGAGGTTATCTGGATCGCCCTGATGCAGATTAGAGATTATACAAGATTTGAAATATGCCTTTGTTTAGGATTTAAAAAAAAGACAAATCTGCTGCATTCGAGGAAATGCATAAACTGTAAATTTCAAGAAAGGAAAAGACGACAGATCACACAGGGTATTATGGATTTATAAAAGTCCATCCATTTTCTTCCCTTTATCTGAGGTCGGGTCACTGTGGCAGCAAGCGCAGTAAGTCAACCCAGACTTCCCTCTCTGCAGCAACGTTTTCCAACTCCTCCTGGGGGATTCTGAGGCATTCCCAGGCCAGACGGGACATATAATCCCTCCTGCAACTCTGGGTCTACGCCGGGGTCTCCTCCGAGTTGGGTGTGCCCGGAAAACCTCCAGATGGAGGCATCCAGGAGGCCTCCTGATCAGATGCCCAAACCACCTCAACTGACTCCTTTCAATGTGAAGGAGCAGCGGCTCTACTCCGAGCTGCCCCCGAATGTCTGAACTCCTCACCCATCTAAGGCTGAGCCCAGACACCCTCCTGAGGAAACTCATTTCGGCCGCTTGTATCCGCGATTTTATTCTTTCTGTCACTTCCCAAAGCTCATGACCACAGGTGAGAGTTGGAACAAAGATTGACCGGTAAATCGAGAGCTTTGCCTTCAGGCTCAGCTCCCTCTTCAACACAACGGTCCGGCACAACGCTGAGCCAATCAAAATTAGGAAAAGTGGTTCTTCTTTTTATTCTATAAAAAACAGCAGCTAAGGAACCTCTTCAATCGAGTAATATGAGAAAAAGAACCTACAAACTAAAACAGGAAACAGTAAAGGAAAACAGGAACACAAGGACAAAATAAAACAGGAAATAAAACTTCTTACGACTGAAAATCTAAACGAAACAGAAAAACTTGACAGAAACACTAGGACTCAAGACTGCGACAAAAATCAGTTGGAGCGATGTGCGTGATATGAGACAGACGCTGTCACTGAGACCGGATGCAGAGTCATCACATTTAACCTCCACGGAGGCTCATCTGCTCCCAGGCAACACCCCGTCACAATAAAAGCGGTGTTTAAAAAGATCCCTCTGTTCTCCTGTCAGTCAGGGTGCAAACTAAAGATCAAAACAAGAAATCTGTCACACTCAGAAACAACGCTTTCCTCCTCTGAGAGCAACTTCCTGCCTATAAGGTTTAGTTTGAACTCATTTATCCAAACTCTCTGTCTTTGTTAAACGCCCAAAAAATACATCTCTAAGTTAAATTTATGGATTTTCTTTTAAAACTCAAAAATCTGCTCAGTGTGAGAAACA